GTTGCGCTACTCAGGGATCACTTTGGCCAGTGTGCTGTGGAAGAGCTAAGTTGCGCTACTCAGGTGTCACTTTGGCCAGTGTGCTGTGGAAGAGCTAAGTTGGGCTACCGGGCGTACTGAAGTCCAAAGTTCTAAAAATCTAACAACCCCACAATCCTACGGGTGGGGAACAAGCCCGTTTGTGACCCACCAGGCCGTGCCTCCCCAGACAACGCCTCTTCTTCTTTCCGTCGGTCTGCCGAAGAAGACGGGCCTTGGGGGGCCAAGTTGCTGACGGTCCTCATCTTGCTCAAGAGTGCAGAAGAACCAATTCATACCTGAAAGTTTGCACTAATATATAAATAATCTGACAAGTGCGAAAAAATCTGTGCCCTGCGGCTGGTGGCTCTAGTTTCGCGCAAACACTTTTCGGAATGCACGTGGGCTACTGCTGACAATATGCCGCCGACATCAACCTCTCAGGCTCCCCACGCTCTCGAGCTGCCCGCACCTCTGCTGGACCTCTGACCTGGAGCACTTTAGACTTGGACCAAAAATGGAATCTGGAGCAAGTTAGAGACCATTGCTATCTGGTCGCAGGCCATTGCTTATTAGGACAACTCGAAACCATTCGAAACCTTTCTTATCCTCGCTAGGTGCCCACACTCTACTCACACCTCGGCCGAAACAGAAACAGCAACGAAACACGAAAGCACTACTGGCTGGGTGGTTGTCACTTTTTTGATAACCAACGGCTGGCAAGCAAGGAAGTCCAATTCCAATCAAAAACTATATATATCACATAACTTACAATATATTATTACTGTATGTACTCTCTCTCTCTCTCCTCTCTCTCTCTCTCTCTCTCTGTCCGTCCTCACGGCTTGTTTCCGATGCAGGCGGACAAAACCGCCCTCAAGGTTCTTGCAACACGTGTTGCTTGAAAAACCCATCAGATGCAGTGGAACCTGCATCAAAGTAGCAGAAACACATACAAAACATTACAAAACCACTGTTTGTCCACTGTTCGGCTTGGGGCAATAAATGCAAGTTCAACTTGCTAGTAAATGATAGCGTAGTTAGGTGCCAGTTCCGGGACACTAGCGCCAAGCCCCATGCGGATCTCATCGTCCGCTTGTAGGAAATGCCTTCAATGCTGACAGGGGCATCAAAATGCCTTGAGTGTGGGTTGTTTGCTCATCTTTTCTCGTTTGGCCTTTTGTCTGTCTTTCATTGCTTGCTTCCTTCCTTCCTTGCTTGCTTGCTTGCTTGCTTCCTTCCTTCCTTTCTTGCACCTTTGCTACCCTCGCTCCCTGCTTTCCTTGTTTCCTCTATCCCTCTTTCTATCGATGATCTCTTGTGGCTCGCTCATTTTTCGTGCTACAATCGCCAGAAGCCCCGCCTGTCTGCGCGCAGCGTCTGTGCGAACAAACCTGAGCTCTGCGTTCAGTCATCTTGGGCAAAGAGACAAGAAATCGGGAAAGGGTCGGTCAAGAAAACCATATTGAAGTTCTCACAGAAAACACAGTGACAGTACTCTGAGGAGTCCCCCAACTCATTCCGTGTTGCTGTGGTCATTCGGGTTGATTCACTCATATTTAAGTTCTCGTCACCTTCTTATGCCCCACAGGACATGTTCACAGCTCTAAGCAATCCCGTGCGTCATTCAGTAGTCCAGGTCATCCCACCTCGCGAGGGCATGTAGCGTTCATCTGCCTTAGGCAAATCGTGGATGGAAAAAGCTTGGCTCTGATAGAGGACAAACTGCCTTTGACTAGGTGTAGAAGAAACATTGGGTGGGGTGAGCAGGCAAAAGCCAGTGGCTACAGGGAGCTTCTTCAAGTTGACCTTAGAGCAAAACTATTACGCTTGTCTGTCACCACCTACCACCCGCGCCGTGTATATACACCCTCTCTTCTTGTCGCCATAGCCGAGGGAATTTACTGATGGCCCCAGTCAGTGGCAGGTTTCAGTGACCTGAACTGCCTGATCCCTTCCCAACTTGGACAAAATCACCGGCGGAGGACTTTCGTTCTTCTCCGAGTGAGTTGCAAAGCGGTTTCTGTATTGGAATCCGCACCATAGACGGCGGCCTTGTCTCAGACTCTCGACCTAAAATCGGCGAGGGTGCAAAGAAAAGGCACAAGCTCTTCTCCACGTTCCTCATGTTCCTCATAGAGTGAGTTTCACACACAAGTCTCGAGACTGTGAACAAGGCTGCAAATGTCGGCCATTTGCGTCATACGATATCACAATATCTGTCGTACGTGTTAAAAACCATCTCTAACTGCATTAGAATCATGGATTTATTTCTTGGGCTGGGGTCATTTCTCATATCAAAATGTATCACTACTACAACTGTGGCATGATGTGTTTCGGTTGAGTGTTTGGATGATTCCCGAAACATGTTGGACACATGAAACCAAATGCATGCCAAAGCGCTACTCTTTTTCGCGGGAGATGGCACCACCTCGGTGTCAACATCCACATACAATCGAGGCCATGCCTTGCAATTGCAGCTGAAGGATCTTGACCGTTTGCACCATCGCATGAATCTTACGTCTTACGTAATTAGCTTCTCTCTGTTCACCCATGTGTGGCTGAGGTGGGAGCTGGCAGCTCACCACGAGGCGTCCGCGCCTGAGTTTGGCAGGCGACCACTTTCAGCCGGTTTTTCAGGAAGGAGTTTCAGAGCTCACACAAGTGCAAAGCGGCTCGAAAAATCAAGATAAATCAAGACTCTTTGATTGCAACATATATAATTAGGTCAAGGGGGGGGTTAGCCCGGAAAGCAAACCTTCCCGATGACTCAACATGGTTTTCTGGTGGGGGGAGTGAGGGGGACAGTTTCGTTCGGGGGTTTCGTTCGGGTTTCGACTCGCATGACTAGACACGCGTTGCGATTGCGGCTTACAGGACATGGCGGGGACCACGTGTGAGGTTTGCTTGCGTTTGTCGTTAGTTCTTTTGTTGCGTTTGTCCGGTTTGAAGCGTCCTTCCGCGAATCAGCATTTGAGGGACTTTTTTCGCGGCTGATCCCTTTGTCTTGGATGCCCACATTGATGTTTGCTCTCGTGTCTCCGATCCGACTCTGTCATTTGTTCAGGAGGTTTCATTGTTAACCTGTCGATCACCGTTTTGATCTTCTTGTCGGTTTTCGGATTGTCTTATATTCTTATTCATTCTTATTCGACGTTACATTCGACGCTTGGAATTCTCACTTTATTCGAAACTACAGGATACTGCAGGTATTTTTACCTTTTTTGTGGAGTGCATTGTGGGTTATTTCAAGACGTTTGTGTCCGACACAGAGTTGGATGCGAGACTCTCTATCTCCACCGCGGGCCACTCGGACAACGCTGATCTTAGACTGGACAGCAAAGCCTGTCTTGTTTGAGTGTGTTGAAAATCCACTCAAGTCATCGTCTTGAAGTTCATGAACTCCAAGACGATGTAAAACGCATGGTTTTCTAGCCCGGTGCATGTTGCTTTCCAGGCTAACTCCGTTTACCCAACATCTTGCAACGGTCCATTTTCACGATCCATCAGCAACTTTCCAACCTCTGAGCCCTCTTGGCCCCATATCAGTCATCCAGAAGGTCAGCAACATCCTGCACTGCAACTCCATGCGCAAGTGCAAAAATCCAAGGGGGCCGAGAGCAAAAAGGATTTTAAAAAATAAGAAGAAGAAACAAAAATAATCTACATGGTTTGCGTTTGTCTGCCAATTGCATTACATCCAAGTGCACCAACCAAGGGTCAACCTCTGTTTCTGCCACAGCAGCTTCTAGATCCTTCAATGAGTCTACCGAGTCTACCACCTGGCCCGCACCTCCTCCGCCTTTCGCTTTACTGGAGCTGCAGGCTTGGCGGGGCAATGCTCCACCAGCGCTGCTCCAGTGTGCGCGTTGAAACACACGCTGTTGACCTAAATGTACAAAAGGTGAGCAAGAAATGCCCCCTGGCCCCCTGGCCCCTGAATATCATTTTTAATTTACACAATATGCTCGGGGTTGCTTTGGGCAATTCGTCACCAAGTCCTGAAGAATGCCAAATCAAATTGCATCAGGGCCAGGCTAGTGGTGGATCTTTTCGGGTGATAGCCTGGCAGAGATCTATCAAATAGCCTTGACTCTAATCCATCCCCAACCCTACCACGTCAGCGTTATATAAGTTATTTATGAATGTTTTATATAGCATTATATATAGCTGTTTTCTGCCCAAGCTGGAAGAGTCAAACTCGAGACGTGAGACATTGCCTCACTGTTGAGCACGATGAACACTGTTAACGATACGCTCAGAGATGTAGATTCCCGTGCGAAGCGCCTCCTCCAGGACTGGCACTGCAAGTTCATGTCGGCCACGACGCACGGATTGCAAGAGGAAGAGCTCCAAGGAGTCACGGGTTAATCCAAGGCCCTGTGCCTGTGCATCACTAATGAGCCGTGCAGCAGTATCAAGATCCCCTTGTTGGAGGCTGCCACTGAGAAGGGCCTTGAAACAGGTTGCATCAGCTTGATACCCTACAGCGGACATCTGTTCGTAGACCTGAAAAGCTTCGGCAATCTCACCCTCAGCAGCACACACGGAAATCAAGCAGGTAAAAGCATGAGAATCCGCTGAAAATCCAAACTTCTTTGGCATCTCCCTGAAGGTTTGAAGGGCTGCGCCCAAGTCCCCATTGCGGCCATAGAGACGGATCATGGTGGCCAAGGTGCATGAAGCAGGTGCGACATTGCAGCACTCCATGCTTCGTAGAACCTCCTCAGCCAAAACGAGAAGCTGGCGATGAGCACAGGCCTCCAAGACTGCTTGAAAAGTCGAGAAGTCTGGAGAGATCTCTTGGCGCTGCATCTGCCCAAGCAGTTGCATGCTGCTTTCCAGATCTCCACGGGCCAAATGGGCACGGATGATGCTGGAATAGGCATAGGAGTCTGGCAGCACATCTTGCAACGTCATGTCCCTAAGCACGTCCATCGCATAGTCCACGTTTTAGCTTTTCAATAGGATAGAGATGACCGCATGGTATAACACTCTGGAGTACTCTACTCGGTCCTTTGTGTCCTTGTAGAGCTCCCACGCGATGGAGCCAGTACACTCTGACATTTTGAAGGTCTTGAGCAGCAGTGCAGGAGCTTGGCTATAGCCTCCAACATCCTGCCCAACCTCCCGGAATGCAGAAGCAGATCCTTCAGCATCTTGCAAGCCCTGGCACGTTAAGACCTTCTTGCAAAAGGCCTCTTCTTGTGTAAGTTCCCTTTTGACTAATTCCGGCTGCTTGGGGCAAGCTTTTGTAGAGGGCCAACGAAGTAGCCCACGAAGAAGATAGAAATGGAAAAGCACCAGAACTGCAGTCAGGAGATCCCACGTGAGGTCCTGGTGCCATGCAACAGTGCCAAGTCCACTTTGTGAGGTAGCAAAGGTGGACCAAACACCGGAGCTCTCACCATGAGTCATGGTGGCGGAGTAATAACACGAAAGCTACGTTGAGAGCAGAACAGCTGTATCTGCAAAGCAGGCACGCAACGTGCAAATGGTCATACAAGATCATATGCAAACGTGCAAAGTTGCAAAGGTTGAACGGCTCCCAAAGCGCGTGCAAAACATGTGCTTCGTGTCTCTCTCTCTCTCTCTCTCTTTCATGCCTTGATCATTGACAGTTCTTAAAGTATGCCAACAACAGCACACGATTGCGCAATGTCATTCAGACTGGCGTTTCGCCTTGATCACCTCCTGGGATAAAAGACCACCAAGCACAGAGGCCACATGGACCAATGGCTCCACAAAGAAATGGCCGAACGCCTGCCATTAGAGCACAATACATAAATCAAACGGGAAAAAAAAAAGCTTGTCGGTTGCACCTGCTGCATTGTCTGCAACCCATCAACTTTTGGCTGGCATTTAACCTGAGGGCTTAGGATTGCGATAAGGTCGGAAGGAAATTGTTCCAATCTAATAGGGATGGCCTCCACCCTAGTAGCGATGGCCTCCAACCTAATAGCAATGGCCTCCAACCCTAGCTTCTAGGTGTATGCTTGAACGGACATGGTAGACTTGGAGAATTCGGTAGAAGTAAACTGTAGCTGCCTGCCTCCTGACAATGCGCTTCGAAATCAGCTGCAGCACTTGGAACAGCTCTCTCAGCTTTGCCCCGAAGGAAAGAGGCGAAAAGGCCAAATAGTTTGAAGGAATCATCGCTTTTCCTCGGTCGCTTAAACAAATCAAGGAAGGGACCAAAGGGCGCGGCGCTGGCCTCAATCACCACGTGAAGCGCTTAGGGTGCTTACAACAATGCAAGCGCACACTGCCAACTGTGCAAAGGCTCTTCCCCAATACACTTGGACCTGGATTTGTTGCGATCCGGCGTGCATGCAACGCAGTTCGGTTGGCTTCCGGAGGGGGGCTGCACCCAAAGCCTAGAGAAATGTTATACTGATCTGTCTATTGGCATCCGCTTACAACAGGAGTTATTGCATGTTTGACAAGGTTCCCTGTCAGCAATGCAGGCACTGCAGCCAGCCAGTCGCTGAAGGAAGGGAAGCTAAAGGTTTCTGGATTCTGCCCCGTTTGGCCTCGCGATGGTTTATCAAAGCTTTGGTGCAGAAACGGGCAAAAACTAATGCCGTAACATTTACCAGCCCAAAACGTGTATCAAGTGCTAGCTTCACAAAATTCGGTGTCCGGCCTACATCTGTGCTGCCTTGAGCACTGCGTTCCTGTGCCAAAGCAGCCCGTAGAAGTGGCCACAACACAATGACCCAGCAACAGTTGTTGCACCGGTTCGTCTCCAACGAATTGTTTCCAAATTGCGGCCAAAATCGGGAAACAAACAAGGGTTAGAATCCTGCATGATGTGCTCGTGAAGGTCCGAGAAGAAAAAGGCGATTTCACCAGCTGCCACGGTCAGCAAGAAACCAGCACCTCAGAGAAGGGCCCTATCCCTTTGCAAACACCACAGCACAGCACACGTGTTTTTTCAGAGGTTTTAAGTTTATTTAAGCTCCCGTGCGGTTCACCCAGTGGCTGGGGTATAGCAACACTACTGTCAGTATAGTATGGTAAAAACGTACACCGCACACCCCCATTCCCACAACATATATTCCAGTATATTGCAAAGCTTTTCTTTTTGGCATTGGGTAACGGCCCGGGCACATTTAACGTCCCAAATACAAACAACCCCGCAACCTACAACGCATAAAAAAAAATTAAGATCCACGAAAATCCAAATTTATCTCGTTCCCTCGCTTCCAAGGTCCGCTGTTTACCTTCTCACGTTGACTCCCTTATAACTTGCCTGTCTAGTTGAACTGAAAAGTCTTCTAGCGACATCTAGCGACAACCCTCATTGAGCCCCCAAAATGAAGCACCAACGCTCACACGAGCAGGTCACTAACGTTTCAACCCCCATCCGAAAAACAACAATTATGAGGAAGTCATACCCACCTGACCATGTTAAAAATCTAATTGTACCAGCGTAGGCCCCAAACAGTTTCTGCATTTATGAAGTCAGCCACAGAGTCGAACTGTCAAACATTCAACGGCTCCAGCCGGACCTTGTGGGTTTGTTTCAGCTCTTGGCTCAAATGGCCCTAGGTCAGGACTGGCAACGCAAACAAAAAAGCAGAAGGTGTCGCAGATTCTAAGTGTAGGACTTAGAACACGGAAAACACGTGCACATAGAACATTGCGTTGTGCGTCGGCCACTATGTGGATAGTATACGGTAATTACTACCGGCTATACGCTCAAGGAGCGGTTGGCCAAAGGCCTATATATAAACAGTTTTTCCCACGATAGCGCGAGCTATTAGGGTTCATACTTCAAGATCACCTTCGTACGCCAGGTCAGGCCGGAACACTAAATGTACAAAAAATCCACAGCAACACACACGGTCTCCGTTTATATTGTCCTAAACGAGAAGTTGCGTTTTTAAGGTGCAAAAATGTTACTAAATCCTGATGGTCCTGGTGACTTGAAACCATGAAAGGAAGGTCAAGGAGTCAACGAGAGCATTTCCGGGGAACTTCCCAAACCAGATATTATGGTTTTCTGTGCTCTCTCAAGGCCAAATTGAGGAGAACATGCTAAAGGATTTTATGAAACTGAGTTGGCTGCCTAGACTTCTGCAAGCTGCATCCATCGAAGCCGCGAGCTCAAAGTCAAAACCCAAACAACTAAGACCCACGATGACGACGTCAAAGCCTTTGAGAAGCTCCTTTGAAATGTTGTTTGGGTTTTGACCGCTCGAGATGCAACAAATAGGAAAAAAGGGAAGGTTGAATAACATCAGTACGCATCAGTGGATACTTACATTGGACATTATGTTGAGCACCTGCGAAGGAAAAAGACAGCGCTTGCTGCATTGCCGTTTGCAGTCCTTCAGCTTCTCTGGATTCTTTGCTGGCCCTTCGCTGCTGGAGGAGACGCTACCAAGCCTTGGACACTGCACTGCTGTATTGTTACCGCGAGAGCTACTGCTGGCCATTCTATCATGGTCAGTGGGGCGTGGCCATCATCCATGTGAAAGCTGTCGACCAAACCAAAGGAAAATGCAAAATGATGCAAACATCTGAACACCCGGGTTACACTCAGATGGGAGGGCCCAACTTGTAAAGAATTGAATAGGCAGCCGAACGGTTTATGTAACGGCTACTGTAACTGCTTAACTCAGCCTCCTGCAACCTCACTCAAATAGCAACGAAAGGGCACAGCATGTCAACGAGTCAACACTAACATCACTAACTACAAACAAAGAGCATGTAGTGTAGTGTTATGTAGTGTTCGCGTTTTCCGCCCAAATCCTGTCCGCTATGGTAATCAAGACCATCTGACCAATTGCATACGAATGCTGCATGCAAGGCGCGGATTCATCTCTTGTACTCGTTTCGAAGCACATTCGGACCGATTCTTGCCTATATCCTCTGGCCTCAAGAAGTAGTTGAAGCCTCAAGGACGGAGACGTCGACGTGCAGGCACGATAAATGCAGCAGCTATATAGACTCATTGGCTAACTCGTTAACAAATATATAGGTCCAAGAGGGATCTACCCTTAAACAGGCTCTGTCAAAATGAAATGCATATTGTTTGACAACAACTATCCGAAACTCACCTTCTAACACTCTAATCTAATAGGTTTGAAGTTCACAACCCGCAGCTCCGCCGTGTGAAATGTGAGACAATGAAACCATTTATATAGTGCCTACATCAGCAGCTGTGACTGTGCGATGGTCTCGAAGAGTCAGGGCGATGCCTGGTGCATTTCAATAGCATGCGGCATCTGTCGTGCAATGTGTATGGACAAATGCGCTGCATTACCACACCACCATTCCGGAGCATCTGATAACCAATGCAAACAGCAATGATGCAAAATACCCCTTTTGCCCACCTGCCAGGACCAAATTCTTGCACGCCTCAACGTTGCTGCCTTCAAGGCCCCAAATCAATACCTGCCACCGCTTGCTTAGGATTAATTCAGGCAACTTCTCCAAAAGGATTCTGTCAAACAAGTCTCTCTGATAGGCACCCACTGATTCACAAAATGAGTGATGCTCTGCACCTTGGCATTGAGAAGCCTCTGTTGCGCCTGGACACCCCAAAGGCGCAGCTGACCTCACCAAAGTTCAAGCTAGGACTTGCCGCTGGCACTGCAATTTGCTAGTTCTGCATTCTCAACATGCCCGAGAAGCTTCAGCGTTGCCCTAGGCTGGATTTCTGCAACTGGCTGAGCCCAAAACGATCGTATACAGCCACCTGATCCCCAGTGATGGCTGACATTGCCTAGCAAGCTACAACATTGCTGAAAAGTGGAGCAATGTTGAATATGGTCATGCCATGTCCAGCCTCAGTTCCGCCCTCCGGGAAGTTCGGCTATACTTGGGCAAAATTGAGCTCCATGCCGAAAAGTGGTGGCCCAAAGCAGCAACATATAATATACAGTAGATATACATACTGTATATATACACACAATTACACACAGTAGCGCCCATGACCAAAACAACGTCGAGAGTCGAGAGGAAGGGAGGCCGTTCCTTGCATATACAAACAACATGGTGACCTTGTCATGAATGTGAGTTGGCCACTTCACTTTTTGGCATCACACTATCCTGGCTTACACCGTTGGACGCATCACAGCTCACAACACCCTGAAACACGCACATACACAATCTGGGCGTTCTGCCGAAACTGGTGCTTTAGGCAGCTGCTCCAGTGACACGGAGTTCTGACATCCAAGGGCCGAAGTGGTCATTGAATCATAAATCATGGAACAATTAGGGAACAGTTGAGCAAAACTGCCAAAAACGCTACGCCTAATTCCAAAGCAGGAATCCGCCTCTGCATCCCGCACAGCCCGACCTTGGAACATGCTCGACCGCACATCAGAAGCATCGTGAAGTCCACATGGTGCCACATGCCCGCTTTCTTGATGGGCAACTACCACCACTGGCCCTTTTCCACCCGTTTCTTTTTCTCTCATGTGTCTCCCTCAGCGCTCTTGTTGACGTTGACTGTCCTCCGCAATTCACAGTTACAGAGGGATCAAAGGAGAAAAAATAATCAAAGGCCAACAAACACAGCATTCTAAAGACTGAGTCATGAATCAAGGCACCGCGCGGCCAAACATTTTCGAGGCATGTGATTACATGAGCTCAAGCAGCACACTTGTGTGATGCTGAATGACAAACAATGAAATGATTGATAAAACTCAGCGAGAGTTCTTGAGAGCAAGCTTCCTGGTCAACGGCAGGTGCCTAGCCAGTAATCTGCCCACACATCACTTCTATCTGTGGAAACGCCAACGATGCGAGGTCGGAACAATCGGCTTGCACAAACTTCAACCATCACTATGACCCATCACATCGGCGTGGGATTCTTGTGCAATGTTGGTTTGCTGGCGTCCAGTATCTCTTAACGCTCTTGTGTCTCTCAAAGTTCTTAGTGCCATTTGAAGCGTTCGGAGCGCCAAAAACCCGCGCAAACCAAACACTGCATCTCAGGACCACAAAGAATTGAAACGTGAAGGCCATCGCTTGAAACTGGCGCTTCTGAAAGCATCCGGTATCATACTTACATTCGGGGAGCACCACCCGCGGGCAAGGGCTCACAAATCTATGCTCCGTCCAAGGCTCACAACACTCACTCGTGATTCACAACTGACCATGAACAGAAACGCTAAACACCACAGCTTGCAACAGCAAGTCTTGGTATGTCTTTGTGTCACACCCTATCCTATGAAGCGATATCAAGCATGTAACATAGGCACTGAGGCCTGATGCTTGGATTCTGCTGTGCCACGCTTTCCCGGAACTTGCCGATAGCTGTGGCACAACACTCAAAACTTCTTGCCGCTCGATTTGATTTGCCTTGCACTGGAACAGCTTTGCGAGACAGGGAGACCATGATACAACGTGCATGTTTGGCATTGAAGCGCAGTACAGCCACTCCTATGGTGTATTGCATCTTAAACGGTTCACCGTGCCCGCACCTCTACTTTGGGGCCGCAGCTTTGGCCTCTACCTGTGTCGCTTGGACGCGCATGAAGTTCTGATATATATTGTTTAAAAAGTATATACACGCATTCATCTGAGGTTGGTCTACTTCGTATCTCTGCGGCGCATGCCTTCAATGATTCAACACACGTTACGCATACGTACACGCACATAATCAGATCATTTACAAATACACATGTTCCCCATTTAAGCAAGCTTACCCGCCTTACTTGCCAGCCTCCTTGTCAGCTGCTGCTCGCTTAGTTGCTGCATCCTTGGCAGCTTTCTTGGCAGCTGCCTCCTTTGTGGTTGCATCCCTTGAAGCTTCCTTGGCAGCAGCCTCTTTGTCAGATGCCTCTTTTGCAGCTTTCTTGGCGGCTGCATCCTTTGCAGCGGCCTCCTTGGCAGCCTCCTTGGCAACCGCATCCTTCTCAGCGGCCTCTTTGGCAGCTTCCTTGGCAGCTGCCTCCTTCTCGGCTGCCTTCGCAGCAGCTTCCTTGGCGGCAGCTTCCTTTGCAGTTGCATTTTCCTCAGCTTCCTTCGCAATGGTCTCTTTGTCCTTTCCGATCGAACTCTTCCTTGCAGCCATTTCCTGACCAGTGTTGCAGAAACAGAGCATTTTGTTCTCATATTTTTGTGCCAACACGTTCTGGCCTCATCCACCGGGCGCCTGGCTGGCACGACGCCCCAAATCACCTGGAGAAACTTCATGACTCGATGGGCTAAACCATGATAAACCATACCAATAAAGGAGGAGACGACCTGAAAAGGGAAGAGAGAGGGAGGAAGGGAGGAAGGGAGGAAGGGAGGAAGGGAGGGGAGGGGGATGACACGGGTAAGCAATGCAGTCCCTTCACATCCTGGGTCACCTAGGTGGTCCGGGATTCACAGGCCTTTGCGTACTCGCTGATAGTACGATCTGTAGAGAACTGCCTCGGATGAGAGATGTTCCATCACTTTCAGACCCGACCGCTGAGCTACACTCCAGGATCGAACAGGGATGGATGCAGTTTGGCCTATTTGCCTTCAACAGTCACGGCACTGTGTGTGTGTGTGTCACTGGAGGCAATCATTGGACTGGCGGTGTGAGTATGCTTCAACCGGGCTTCATGATATGTTAAATCCATTCATGGCGCCGACGTTCCAAAATCTTCCATGCCTTTTTTGAGATGCCTGCTTCTGTCACACCACGATTGCCTTCTTTGATGGACGCAGCTGCATGAGGCTTTGTGCAGTGTCGCGGAGTAGCAGAGCAGTCGCTGGTTTAACGTAGCGCGGTCTGGCCAAGCAACGCCATGGAGGATGCTGCTTGGATGCTCAGTTTGCACCAAAGCGATCGGTTCTTGTAGGTCTCGTCCACCTTGGCCTGAAGTTGACCAGGCTTGAGGTTGAAGTGCAATCACTTGTTGGAATAGCAGATTGCAGTAGCCCTAGCACGAGAAAGCGCCTGGGCATCGATGAAAGATGGGAAGTCATGGATGACCAAGTACCTCAGCAATCGACAGGGTCCAAAGTTCAGCTTTAAGCTCTTTCGCCTCATAGGAGAAAGTGCGGGAACACAATGCCCTTTGTTACTTTGTAGCTTCTTGTTCCTAGTAGCGATGGCCTCCAACCTACTAGCTTCTTGTTACCAGCATTTCAATAGGCATTTTAGGCGAGGGAGGTGCTAGCGCAAACAGGGCCCAATGGTGCCAAGCTTCCTGTCTCCGTCCCAAGTTCCTGCCGGTCTCTGTGGAAGACGTGAAGCCAGAACAAACACGTGAACATATCGTCTACGCTAAAAACAAAGCGCATTCAAACACCCTTGAAAGAACAAACTGATGGGTCCTGCCGCACGGGTATTACACAGGCGGCTGATGATCGACTCAAACTCACTCTGTGCTTCAGGCTCTGCCTGACGTTGGTTTAGTCACATTGGGTGCAAGAGAGTGACACCAGTTCTCACCAATTTACGCTTTGTTCCGGACACCCTAATACATCTAATATCGTGGAATGCAATCTGGCATGTGCATATATGTGGGTGCCCTGTGACCGCTAGACTGTCCCATCCTGTCCGGCGAACTTGCCATTCCGGATCGCATCAAAGACCGCCTGCAGGAGGACTTGTTTTGCCCACTTGGTGTCACAAATCTTCACAAAAACATTCAGTGAGAGATTGCAACAAGGCCTGCAGGCGATTGTCGATGGGGTAGTGGCCCTCCTGCGCCCTGGCAGAAATTCCTGCCACCTGGCGGCAATCAAAACAAGGACAAGGTGTGGAGTCCAAGAAGTTTCTTGTTTTGGTTGTGCACTCCCAACCTGGTGCTCCTCGCAGCCAAAAATGAACATTGTGTCATGACCTTGCGTGGGACTGCACGGCATCTATCTTGCAGAGAAGCCCTTCATAGTCAAATACATATGTATATATATATATGTATAGTCTGGCGACTGAGCAAAGCAACAACTATTCCGCAGGCAAGGTGCCACATTCCTCTCTGATCTCAATGTTTGCACCATCCATCGTTCCCACAATTAAGCCACCATTCATGACAAACCTGTGCAGTCAGGCAAGGGATGGAATGTCAAAAAGGAAAACCGCCGTACGATTTCAACAAAAACAATCTGAGTGGGCTCACCCCAAGTTGTTGTTACAATGCTACGTCATGTATATACCATAGATATATATATATATATGTAACAATTATGTATATAACTATATAATCATACTCCTTGATTGTTCATGTCCCCACAGCAGCCACAAGTTCGGTGAACAACAGAAACCTCACATGTGCAACAAAGACTTGACTAGACTATTGGAATTATATATATATATAATAATATAGGAAAAAATGAAATGGCGGCTTCCTGCAGCAACTCTTTGGAACAAACTCCAAGCGGCTTCATATTGGACGTGCCTGAGGCTTCCTCGGCACAAAATGAACGTTAATGTGGTGACATGTGTGCGTTTGTGTGCGCTCCCACTTTCCATTCCTGAAATATCACCAACTTGTGCTCAAAGCTCAGTGTGCAGAATCCAGAATACAAGTTGCCACTCTGCCATGGCTCTGTTCCAGCAGTGGAAATGTGCTCTGAGATGTCTGATGCGGGGATCATCACCTGCGCCGCGGACACGCAATAGTTCGGCACGAAGGCACACCTCGGTGTCCAAACAGGATCAGATGCAAAACCTTAGGTTGCCAAAACTACGTTCATTAAGCATGTTCAATCATTGCCACGCTCCGCTAAGTTGCTTGAGGTACTGCTTTGTGTCCGGATCATTGTTGATCACCTGAAGCACTTGCAATGCGCCATGGGAGCTGGTTGGTGCATATTTCCGATTCCCACTTTTTGTTATTGTGCAGGTGCATGGCGGCGCATGGGCATGCATAGTGCCATGCATAGAATGAGATGCAGTTGCGGTAACTATCTTTGTAAAGGAGTTGCGGGAATGAGGAACATGACAGCGTTTAGGAGATAGTCAGGCTGAGAGAAGTCTTGGCTTGGTGTATATATATATATATAGACTAGGGAGCGAATTCGGTTGCCATGCGATTTGCGTAAACGAGCCTTGGCCACATTGTTGATGAGTTTGATGATGATCTTAGCATTGACATATGCCGAGGCAGCCTGCAAAATCCATCAATACAAAATAATACAAATATCAAGTTGCATCAACTAGGGTAGCGCTGCTTCATGCACATCTTTCTGCGCGGTGCCTTGCCACCAATCAAGACGACACGTTTCTGGAAGGAAGCACGCTCACTTGGGGACTTCTTTTTCAGCTCAAGGTAGCGGTGGATCACAAACCTGCATAACTGCATAACAAAAACACCGGGAAAGGGTGGAAGATCTACATAAAGGAACGAGTACTTACTTATATAATCTTATATAACAACAATCCTGAACAGCACAGTCAGAATAATAGTACAGTAGCAGTCGTCGTAGCAGATGCAGCAGTAGCAGCAGTGGCAGTAGTGCTGGTGGTAGTAGTAGTAGCAGCAGCAGCAGTAGTAGTAAAAATAGTAGTCGTAGTCGTCGTCGTAGTTGTAGTCGTCGTAGTAGAAGCAGAAGCAGAAGCAGAAGCAGAAGCAGTAGCAGCAGCAGCAGCAGTAGTAGTAATTGAGAATCACTCGTGCCAAGCAGCAGGATGTTCATCAACTGCCTCTTGTACTCGTGAATTCTCTTGATCCTTGGTTTACCAAGGCCGATGCTTGTGCGGGTGTTCTCATGAAACTCAAAGAAACTGTGCTTTTGGATTCTTTTGGTGTCTTTGTGAGCAGCTGTTCCACTGTTGTGCCAGTCAGTTGGTGGACAAGGTCAACAGCTCATCAACAATAGATGCTGAAGTCATGCTGCGGCATCCGCTTCTTGCACAAGAACCATGAATGCAGTACAATATCTACCCGTCAAGCCCCCGAAAAAAGAGTGCATAGTCAGTTGTGCATACAACACTTTCCCGGAGGTTCATGGTAGGAGGCCCTGCCATCCGTCCTGCCCAATTCATATAAATGAGGAGCACCGGGTTCATGCATTGCAGCAGCATTACACTCAAATGGGCTGGAGCTTCGCGGCGCACGAGTTTTTGCCGACCCTCACAGCACGAAGCTTCAGGGCTCACAATCGCGACTTATGCGGCAACTTAAAGATTCGCTGTGCATTTCCGCCTCAGTCGGACCCGAAAAATCATCTGATATTTCTTGGAACCATAGACATAAAGCCCAAACAAACATGATTTAAACAAATAAATAAATATTAATAATAACAAGTAATAAAACAAAATAGTTGCATTAAAAAAAAAAAACGGAACAACGTATAACAAGTATGTTCACATCAAGGTCTCGGAGGAACAACTCCGTCTGCTCCTCATCCAGTTTCAATGTGCCAAGCTGTTTGTAAATAGCCTGGTGCTGCAGCATCGGGTAGTTTGATCCATACATCACGCGCTTGGCACCACGCCCGCGCATGTACTCCACCAAAGCAGGTGGATATCGTGATGGTAAATAGGCGGACGTGTCAATGTAGAGGTTTGGGAACCTTCAGGGTCACAATGCTTCATCCATGAGTTCCTGATTCAGCATCCCTTGCAAAGGCTTCGGAAACCCTGAGTGTTCAACAGGATAAAGCATGTATATAACCTTTTTATATATAGCTATATAATGGTAGGTCAAGTTAAACAAATAATGCAAACACTAAGTTGTTGGCTTGTGTCAGGCAAACAAAAGATACAAAAGTCCCGTCTTCAACATCTTCAAATCCAAAACACTTTCCGGCCAGGAATATCATCTCGTCCAGCCAGGGAGCACCGATGTGGCCGCCAACCACAACTAAATCTGGGAAATCCAACAGCACTCGCTCCAAATGAGGGATTGGACGTCCCATGTCACTGGGTCTCAACGGACCTGTGTGTCCGACCTGACTGCGACGGGAATGACAGAAAATGATCACTTCAGAAGTGGGTCGCAGCTTGAGGTCTACATCGCCTACAGCTGATTGCTACACTTCTGAACATCAACAACTGCTCTAAACGGTCATTTTGGCCAGCTGGGGCGAGGCATGCCGCATACATGTTCTAAGCCCTGCCTGCAAGCACAACGGGACCCCCAATTCCACGCAAGCAGCATAGATTGGATAGAAAAGACGATCATCCGCATACCTTTCCCACAGCCATGGCAGCACTCTGACTGCCTTGAAGTTGTGATTCTTCACGTAGTGTTTGATCCCACTTACACATCGTACAGGGTCGCGGATGTCGCCTGAGGCAACACCAACGAACCGGTCCGGTTTTTCCTCGCAGATCTGTCGCACATCCTCATTGGAGATCATTGGCCCGTCGGGACTGTACCATGCACAAACGAGACCGAGTTCGACGCTCCCGGCCTCCATACTCGCCATCGACATCTCCGGTGTATAAAGAGGATGTTCGGCGTTTTGCAGAGGTGTAACATCCACACGATTCCAGCGGAGTAAAGAAGCAAAAATGGGATCCGTCATAAAGCGCTTGGTTGGATGTTGCATCCAGGCATCGACTGCTTTGGGAGTTGACATGGTGGACACCGGCCACTGGAGGCAACCGCCAGATCTACGAGTGTGCTTGATCCAAGGTTTCACTTCACCTACACGTTGCCACTGTTGCCACAGCCTACCTACGTTACATGTTCGTCTGAAATGAGGCATCAAAGCCTTTCGTCATACATTAGACAAATTGAGACTGATCGTGCACCAGGTCAACTTTGTTGCATCTGCTGGTTGAAACAAATCTGCTTGCCAAAGCTCTGGATGTCAATCAGGGCATCTTGGTCAATTTCCAGGTCCATCGTTGATTTCAGCCAATCAGCCAACTTTGCCTTGCAACCTTTCTTCATTGCAATCCACCTCAATGTGGAAAGGGTGTCTTTAACGCGCAACCTCCTTTGGTTCGCATTCCAGGGACATAGGATAATTGCTGAATCAGGCCCAGCAGCTCCTCATGCAGCTTGGGGTCCTCTTTGTACTGCAGCATTTCCTTCACTGGTGCTGGTTGGGAGTCTAACAAAGTACAGCTCCAACTCCGGCCGGCTCCAACCTTAAGCTTGTTCATGTCGGTCAGCCACTCTTGCGAGCCTCAGGAGAGGAGCATTGCTGGGGCAAGGTGCACTTCCCCCTACTGTATGGTATCCTCTGACATCAAGCTGCATCCAAATGGCCCAAATATTTTGTAAAAATTTCGCTCAAAGCTGGGTTGGCACAGTGAATCCAGCGGCGAGGTGTCACACCATTGGTCATGTTCACCTCATGTCCATGGATGTCTGATGTCAAATCAGTATTGGCTCGAGGTCGTCTTGTATCATAATTGAACATAACTCTCAGTTGACTGCTGCTTCTTGGTCTATTGTTCGACGAACTCTCAAAACGATTGGGATCCACAGGACTTTGAGAATCAGGGTCCTAAAACAAGACCCAAGGAGCAATTTTGTTGGGATCCCCGTTGTCGCAGCACCACTTGTAGTACTCGGGAAAGGTCTCCTGAATACAATGACTTCTCCTCTCCATTCCTGAAATTCTACTTACAGGATCTTACAGGGCACACGGCGTCCTTCTTGATGATCTCAGTGTGGATGGCAGCGACTCCGTTGATCTTGTTTGCACCAATGATGGCAAGGTGACCCATGCGAATCTTCTTAACATCACCCTCCTCCACAATGCTCAAAGCTGCAATAATTGGACCATCACCGTACCTTCAGGGCACAAGAGCTTGAGCCATACAAACCAAATGGGTCCTAGGTGCAGCACGGTCGTGAATCACGCTGGCAAACATTGTGTTGCTCAAATCAAAGAAACAGGACACACTAGTAACACTAGTTTTGAGTTTTGATTCGATGTATGTTTCAATCTTTCGCCACTCCGCACAACTCTACAGTAGTCAGTAGACAAAGCACTACAACACCGCACCATCGACCATCCCACACCTCTGGAGCAGCTTCTGAATCCAAATACCGTTGATTTGGTAAATGATCTGCAGATGGCGTGGCAGCATGCGCTCAAACATCTCCACGGGCCATTTCTCCAGGGCCTGCATCAGCATCAATCAGCAGAAAAGCAGTAGAACGATTGATCTGCCTGTGAAACCTAAGACCGAACCCAAAACCCAATTGACAGAAAGCTACTCCCTCGTTTTGGTACCTAGAGAAATTTTGAACATGTAACATGTCGTTTGTGTAGAAAGACACAACCCAACGCAAAACATAAGTGGATTCAAGTCACATGACATGACACGGCATTGCAGGAAGGCTTAACATGGAAGCTGATGGATACCTATGTAAAGGCATTGGTAGCTTCCCGGTTCCATGTTACCCGGTCAAAGTTTTCTAATCCCACAAGTCAACATGCTCCCCAACAATTGAAACCCCCGCTGGGGCAAAGCTAACCTAGAACCTCCGGAAAAGCTACGTAAGTGTTCTCAAAACGCGGCCCCGTCCACTTTCACGTTAGCAGATCTTGCATCCCCAAGAATGACAACAAGTGGAGCAAATCACAGCTACAAGTAACTTAGAAGGTGACAAGCACTCTCCCACACCCGTGGCCAAGCGACTAGCATAAAACCCAAACAGTTCATGTCGTTCATGTCTATTATGTTATCACTTGTTAGATTTCTGAAGTGTAGGCACGTTAAAAATTGGCCGCCGCAAAGCCCATTGATGCTGGTTTCATTGTATCCATTGTTTACCTGGATTGGCCTCTGGCATGACGGTGTGGTTCGTGTAGTTCAGGCACTTCCTGTTGCAATCAACTAATGAAACAGCTCTTACATAACACATGCATGGGACACGGGCCAAAAACTGTCCGGCATGGATTGGTACTTCAAAGCATCGCCATTTCTGGATGGAGTCTCGGCAAGCTCATCAACATCTCATCATCCGAAGATCCAACCTATAACAAATCAAACCCACTGATGAGAGCCTTGTCAATTCCCATGCTCTGTCCCACTCCAGCTTCTGCACATCAACCTTGAAGTCAAGGCTAGTTTCGCCGGTTCCATGCAATATAGAATGCGTGATGTGGCTGGTGCCGGAAACTAGGACCTCTTTGTAGCCTTTGGATGTTGGTTGCAAATCTTGCAAAACACGTATATATCTGACACGGCGTCTATACAGCCAATTCAAACTGTCTATTCATTCACTATTGTTGTCTGACTGTCACCCTTGCAGTTGAAGGGCCAAAAGTCGCATCATCTCCGCCACTGCGATGGTGGGATGGGTGTCGTTCATCTGGACAGCAACCTGACACAGAGCTCATGGAAGCTGAAACGAATTGGCACCATCGAATGACACGGAGGACACTGGAAGGCCACTGGAAGGGCACTGGGCATGCGCTTCAAAATCACTGAACTAACAGCTAAAATCATGGAAGCAATCACTTCTCCTGTCGGGCCTTTTCTGGGAGATCTTCCCACTTGTAATTTGGTCGCTTGATGAACTCTCGCAGCAAATCCTCCCAAAATTTCGTCATGAAATGCAGAAGCTATGGAGCTGAGTCAATGCCTGAGACGGATAGTCATGATAGCGATGGCAAGCTATAAATGCTTCGTTCAATGCTCGAGACTACCTGCCAAAATAAGCTGTTGAGACCACTTAGACTTGTCGTGTGCAAAGCTTTGAGCAGCAGCAACCTTGTGCCAAGCACATCACCCTTGAAAGAATCTCCTGGAGCGATGCACTTACAAAGAAGTACTGCTGTCGAAGGCGAAGCTCCTTTCCGGCATACGTGGCGTCCTTGGACTGCGGTGATTAGGATATCGTGGCGTACTGGCATACTGGCATACGTGGCGTCTTTAGGATATCGTCTTTAGTGAAGCAGTGATCTTCTTAAAGCTTCCCACTAGTGTGTGCCCAAGCGCATTGGGATAGAGCACAGCAGACAGGTCTTCTGCTTTGCGACGTTGGGTGATAGCGTCTTGGAATTGTGCACTGCTGAACGCGTCCAGGTCGAACTCCTGACAATTGATATTGTTCAGCGTTGAAATGATATGCCTTGCAGACCCATATGTTTAGCAAAAAAGCTGGTGCCTTGCTGGGCAAAGCTCGCCACAGTCGCAGGTTGTTGGTATTGTACGTGTCCTCAGCTTCATCTGCAATGCGCAAGGAACACAATACAACAATGCTCATTTCAGTAATTGGACTCCAAACACAGCACTAACAATGGAGTCAATGGAGCACCCTTAGCAAGCGTGCAGTTGTGCGGTTGTGCAGGCACTTATGGTGCATGCAAGTTTCAAAGCCAGGAATAGGATTGTCGTACGCCATCGCTTGCACAATTTCGCCCCCGACCCACCTGCAGCGCAACGCACCGTAGGCTCTGAACTGGTGATACTAAGTCACACAATTACGATGGTTGCGCAGCACCTGGTACATCATTCACGCGAGAGAGAGAGTGTGTGTGTGTGTGTGGCGCAAGTGTATGCACACTCATAAATATACTTATATAGTGGTAGACAACGACTTAGACTTAGAACATCATTTGGAAAAAAAGAACTTTTGATGTGTTCTAAGCACCAGGCTCAGAACAAAAGAACGTTGACTTAGAACACGTGGTCGAAAAGCCATACACTTCTCAGCCTTGAGGGGCTCGCACAAACACTTGCTTTCACAATGCGTATCATATATATATATATATCATATATCTTTGTGTGCGTGTGTGAATCCTATGTGGAACCCTGTCCTACCGGAGTCCTAGACCGTCCTCAGTCACCCCTGTCCCTTGACACCGAACCCCTGGTTTCTCCTCGGTGTAAATGCCTCTGCCCACCCGCCACTTCATTGAGGCGGCGAGTCAACGGTCATCAACCATCAACGGACAAATCACATACGTTAAAATTCTCTATGTCTTTTTCTCCTGCCCATCTTTCTTAACCCATAGGAGCTTGTTTCGGTGGTCTGCTCTTTCTTTCAGGGTGGACTCTTCATCATAAAGGCTGTAACGCCCTTCCTTCAAGCACAGGCGGAGTAGTGAACCGTCCATTGATTTCGTCAACGAGTCCGCAAGTTGAGCCCTTGAACTCACCCAGCGGATGCGGCAGCTTTCCTTAAGGCGCTCTCTGATCAACAAGCATTCAAGACAAGTCCTATACTCCTCACATGAGGGAACTGAAGTTCGAGTAGCTATATCATAGACAGACTTGCAGTCTGTTGCCACTGCTGCTGGATGATCTTCGCTCAAAACGCGGCTGGGATCTGTAAGGTCGATTGATGGATCAACCAACCATTTCCAAAACAAGCGGATCCAAGACAGTCTGTCAAGACATGAACTCAATGCGACTGCTTCTGCACTGAGGGTGGACCTCACCACGCGAGCTATCTTCCGTGAAGACCATGCCATTGGGCATACAACACTCGGCTGGTTGTCGAGTATCCTCCTATCAGTCGCAAAAATGATTTGGCCTTGTCTAGATGACAGCTCTCGACATGTGGCAAACGAGGCATCTGAAAAAGCACAAAATGTGAGAGTGTTCAATGGCAATGGAACGATATGCAGGCAAACTGGGTGTGTCTTTGCTTCATGCAGTACACGGTTCAGCGTGAGCATGTCTTCAACCCTTGCCCTAGTCACCTTAGATTGAATCTCCCCAATCTTGGCAGCTAGGTCCGGTCTAGTGTTGACTGCTGAGTACTGGAGGGAACCTACCAGTTGCCTGATCTCCTGCCTTTCACTCTCTGTCACCGGGTCTTGGAGTTCGGCTCTTCTGGTTTTGGGGATCTGAATTGGAGAAATCTTCTCAATGTAATCTCTTTGGTCAATCTCGATGGAACCATCCTCCCACTGAAAATATACCCGACCGTAAGCACCGCCCTGAAGGAGGCATTGATCATCTCCTTTCATCTGTAAAGCTTGTGCCATCTCCGGAGGTGCTTCCAAACCAAGACGTCGGCCATCCCCTTCCCCTTTGAGAAAGGCGGTAGACACGTCGAAGTTAATGAGTTTCCACTTTCGAGTACTCACTGTTTGGAGCAAGAGCATCCTCCCATCCTTACTCAAAGTAGGGGCATCGTTGGGGACATATGACAATCCTGGGTCAGTAAATCCCAAAACTACCAACCTTGCTTTCGCCCGCCTCTCTCCACCCGGGGTTTCTGGGGGTTTCCAAACAAGGATCCACCTGCACCTCATGATTTCCTCCGGCTGGAGGGTTCTTGGGATTGGTGGTCAACAACGTCTCATACACCTGCATGCATGAACAACACTCTTCCGTGGTGAGGGTGGCCCAGGGACCGTCCTTGAACGTGATCTCAAAGCATGATTCGGTAGACCAAACCTGGTCATCTCCAAACGCGAACAGCTCATCGTCACTCGGGACGGGAACATCAATTCCGTCAACTTGCATATCATCGCTGTCCCACATTGGCACTTCCGGCGCCGATCCTTCATTCGGAGAACTTGGGGGTGCGACTTCACTTTCTGGCTGGGAAATGGGAGGGATCTCAACATCAATCATATCACTGGGACCTTCGCTGGGTTCATATTCTTCATCGGGGACCCCTTCAAGTGAAATGAAATCCCTAGGACCCTTCCCTTCTGCCAACGCTTCCGGTTTCACCCCACCAGTGGAATCTTTAGGAGGCAGGTCTGACCTGTTCAGGACTGGCTCTGACCAACCTTCCCCCGTGACTCAACCACAAAACCCTACTTCCTTCAACAGCAATCACCTGTGAGGGACCATACCACCGACCTTTCTCTCTCCTGGAACTTTGTTGGGTCCTCTTCCAATAGAGTACCCAATCCCCCTTTTCATACACGTCACGACTTGGGCGTGTTCTTCGAAGCAATGCGCGGCGAAAACTTGAATCATTATCTGCAGATATGAAACTCCGTCTAGCCTGTTCTCTCCTCCATAGACTCTCTCTATGAATTCTTTGCTGCAAAAGCATGTCTCAAACAGGCCCGAAACTCCTCATCGTTTTGAATGGGTTGTTCATTGTCCATCCTGGTCAACATCCCTTTTATGATGGCACCATGTCTTTCAGTTCGACCAAGCTGCCATGGTGAACCGCCAGCTGTCATTGCCAATTGAATCCCTTCCTTTTGAAGGAAATCTCGCCATTTGTCTGTGACATATTCTCCGGCCGGGTCAACATACAAGGTCTTGCATGGTCCGGCCCATTGTAACCAGGTGTCCTCAAATGCCCGGATCTGGTCTTCAGTTGTCCTATTGCAAGGAGTCCCCAAATGAAACAGCGTACCCTCATCTAGGAAATGAACAAAGTAGTAGCTCTTTCCCATCTGTCCACTCCAATACACCCCGTCACATCCTACTTCATCATTGAAGTCCAAGTCACGGTGTATGGTTCCGGGTTTGCTGGCCATGGGGGCTCCTACCGTTTCTGCACATGTTGCGCATTGGAATTCAGCTGCTCCATCCAAAATTTCTTGAGGGGACCCCCTTTCCTTCAGAAACTTCACGAACAAATCAGTTGAGGGGTGACCCAAGTTCTGATGGAGTCTACTGATATCCTGGCGCTTCTCGGATGACAAGCGGTTGTAGGTAGGGCCTGACACCGCGATTGGTCTGGGCGCCCATCCGGTGGGTTCTGGACTTGCTAGTTCCTTTCCTTCTACAACCTCCTGGTTCTCCTCTGGGACAGGTACCATCTCAACCTCAGGGTCCTCCCCCCGTGGTTTCCCAAAAATAGTTATTGCAAGTCTGGATGGGCCACACGAACGGATGCGCTTCAGCTTGCTCAGCTTGAGCCATTCCTCAGGGGGACCCGTGTCCACACACTCCCCAGTTTGTCTGTGAACATAGACAGTTTTCCTGAGGGGTATGGACTCCGTGTCGTTGTCATTAGGTGGAATGCGATATCGATCAGTTCCACGACACGATATGACCAACCGGACATCCATCTCTGGGACCTTTGATCCAATCCGTTCACTTAGCTCCCTTCCAACGACGTGAACGCCAACACGAGGGGTCTCCAATGACACACTTTTCATTAGATCGTCCCATGATGTGTCCTGGTGATCATCAAATGCAGGTGGTCTTGCTTGCTTAAAATCGCATATCCGCCGCTTCAGCCGCAAAGACTCGAGAGCAATTCCTCGAGACTCTGCTGATCGTTTTTGCCCTTCGGAAGCCTCAAAACCTGCCAACAACTCTTCCACAACAAGGGGTTCTTCACCACTTGTCCTACTCCTACAAATCACCCTGACCATGTGTTGTGCAAAAGTTGTGGTGTATCGTGCTGCAAATGTTGAAATGTTCTGTCTGTTTTTCTGGTGTGTGTAGCTTCCTTCGATGGTCTGGCGTTCATGCTTTTGTTGGCACCACTTGCCATGGAGCATCTGGTGGATCAACCTGGATGTCGTCTGCACGTTGGAGCGCTTCCGAAGGTACTTGTCCGTTCCCGGAACTCGCAGTCTGCCAACGGTGCACTGGTCAAAGGAGACTGCCAACGTTCCCGACATGATGTCATATACTTCAGGTTGCTTCAACATGTCTGAACCTTGAGGTTGCTCCAAATGAAAATGTCGTCCATGAGAAACTTGATGCCAGTAAATGTCATTACATAACGTCAGGTACCTTCGTTCAAATTCTCGCATGAACAAAAAGCGTGTTCCGGATTCTCTACTTCGGGTCATGTTCAGTCGGGAAAAACCCGCCCACCCCTTACAATCTGGAGCCGCCCAGATATGGAGTGGTTCATACATGTAGATCCAGGTCCATAATTTGTTGACCCCTTCTACCGTTGAAAGGTCTCCATCATCTAACGTGAATCTCAGCCCTTTTCCTCCCATCTTGTTCATTTGGGTGGTCATCTGGGATTGGGGAAAACAGAAGATCTCCAAGAGGTCAACGGGCCGATCATTCGCTGGATCCCAAACCGGTTTCTGAGGTCGCTGACGAAAGGGTCCTTTTGTAGGCAACATGGACAACCCGTCCTCAATCGTTTGAACAACTTCCGTCAATCGTTTCTGGACCTCAGCAACTGGAGTCATCGAATTTGTCACCTTCAGTTCACTGTCGGGTCTCACGGGGTCTCTGGTGCCGGCGCGACATTCTGGTCCTCGTAGCCGTGTCGAGCCAGTTCCCTCTGCAGCACTGCGATCTGAGTCTGAAGGGCATGGATGTGCTGCTGGTTTGGCTCGATGGTCATGGGCTTCTCTTCTTTGCCCTTTGGAAGGGCCCTCTTGTGAGATGTCGCTTTGGAGCCGGCTGAAGTCTTCTCCGTGGTCTTGGTCATCGGTCCTTGGGTCTGACGAGCCTCCATGTGCTCCATCGTCTCCCAGTCGATGTGGCTCCATTCGCTCTCTGTGGAAGACTTTCCTTTTGTCTTCATCACCGGCATTTGCGATGCCTCTGCTTCCTTCTTCCGGCGCGCCATGCAGTAATTCTGGAAGCTGCGCACGTCGACTCCTGTGAGCCTTTTGTGGTGCAGGATGAAGTTCACGTAGTTGGTGTCCATCTCGAACAGCACCTCGAATTGCTGACCGGCATGCTTGCCGGTGTTCATTTTCTCCTGTCCCCACTGCTTGAGGCTGGTCATTCCCGGTGGGATCATGTAAGTGTAGTCCAAGGCCTGTTGGGTTGCCGACATCAATCTTCCTCCCACCGACAGGTCGTCCTCCACTGAGTGTTGAGCCATCATCTTCTTCATTGCCATAATCGTGGGTCTCGTCAATGTCGATCTCGGGCTTCACACGGATGGTCACTTGAGCTGTCTCTTGGGCTGCAAGGTCGTACTTTTCCAAGTCTGTGGGATGCCGAGACTCTGTTTGCTTATGTGATGTCTCCTCATTCTGAATTCTGTTTTCACGCATGTGGTGGGTCGACTGGTGGCGTGTGTTGGTGTTCTGTGACATTGAATGAAACACTTCACCCCTTTCATCATCAAAATCAACATTCAACAGTTCCCGAACACTCACACAAATCAAACGTCTTCGAACCCTGCGCAACCTAAGTTCCTGTTTCGCCCCATGAAACCACAGTTTCCCCCTATAGGAATCAATTACCCCCTTCATTCCCTGAACAACTGCGTTAGACAACAAGAACGGTGTGCTTCCGGGCACGATCTCGACGCGAAGCCATCCTCTGCCTTTTCGCGGCAAAAACAGTGCTTCTTGTGATTGGAGCGTGCCGCTATTTCCAAACTTGAACACACAGTTGGAAGGGCCTCTCTTGACCTTGACACCTTTCAAAGCCTGAATCAAACCCTCAACCCAGCGACTTCCTATCACGGTTCGGCTCGCTCCGGTGTCCAAAATAGCTTCATCTGAAGCTTCTTCCATCATTTGCCCCAGTCCATTCTGGTCATGGACGTTCAAGGCAGGAAGGGTCGGTGAGGAGGCCTTTTCAAAATTAATTCGCGTCTTGGCTGAAGGTGCAACTTCAAATCGCCCCGGCCTCTGAGCAACTTTGAGAGCAGATCGAAGGTGGTTTCCAAAAACTCCACTGTCCCAAACAGTAAAAATCTGATCACCCCCATGTGTCTTCTGATTCTCAAATCCATGCCAAACGACCGGTGCGATCGAACCTACCACCCTACCAAACTCTTTACTAGAATAGGGACAAGGCTCATAGTCCTGGACGTCGTCCGGCAAGGTGTCCATGAGTTCCGGATCCTGCTCCGGTTCATAGGGGGTCTCCGCCATGGTGGTGGTCTCGGCCTGTCGCTCAAAGCGCTGAGGACATTCCCTCCTCCAATGTCCAGGCTTGGAACAAATCCGACAGGTTGAATTGGCAATCCTCTCGGCGAGTGTCTTTCGAGGAGGTGTCCATGAGCTCTTCCATGAACCCTTCTTCCCTTTTCCCTTGGTCGTTTGACCGCCACCCTTGCCCTGGCCAGGTGGCCAGAAGCCTCTGTGACGAACTCGTTCACGAAGCCGAGCACGAGCTTCTTGATATGCTGAAAAGCAACTGGCCAGTTGACTGGACTCTTGCACTGCATTGATGACCTCTTCCTCAAATTCTGCCACAAACACGGCGTCTTCGTCTCCTTGGTCTTGTAGGAGCTGAAATGCCTGTTCCTCCTGGTGTTCATCAGGAGGTTCAAAAGTCACCATGGTGTCCTCCTCGTCAGGCGTCTCCGTGACGTTCACGTCATAGGTTTTGTTCTTGGGCTTTGCTTGACCATGAAGGTCGGTAAAGAACTTCGACCCAAGAAGACGGACTCGGTCTCTGGTTGGACCATACTTCAGCTCTCCTCCGGACTCGACAATGATGCGCTTTTTGTCCTCCGAGGCCAAGGCTGAATGCCTCAGAAGGATATAGGCTCGAATCTCTTCGAGGCTGATGCCCTTCTCCTTGGCCATCACTTCTTCGAAACAGGCATCATGCCGGGCGAGATAGCTGTCATTGGTTTCGTCTCCCTTCTGAACGGTCAAGAACAGCGCCCGCTCGAACTTGAGATAGCGGTCTTCTGCTGAAAACCTTCCCCATTGAAGGCCAAGTGCAGCCAGTATAGCAGCAACCCCGTTCTTGGACTTGAGCTCATCAGGGCTGATGCGTGAAATCTTCTTGAATGACACCGGGTCGCACTGAAGGGCCGCTCTTGGGGCTAAGTGCCCAATGTGTTCTTCCGGCCAGATGCTGGCCAAAAAGGTCAACTTCTTCCCATAGTCATCCAGGTCCGTTTCACCAGCAACAAAACTTGGAGTCTGGGCCCAAGGCAGCTGACTGGCCGGGAGAGATCCCGAACTTCGGCCTGGTGCCGCCTCATCTGCCGTCTGAACAGCTTTTGGGGCCATGGCTCAATCACACGATGGAGGTGAAGTGTCTTTCCCCCCAAACTCTCCTATCACCACCAACCTAGGGTCACCCTGAACCCCCAAAAACACCTTGCCCCTTGTTTAAGAGGCTCCGCTACCAATGTGAATCCTATGTGGAACCCTGTCCTACCGGAGTCCTAGACCGTCCTCAGTCACCCCTGTCCCTTGACACCGAACCCCTGGTTTCTCCTCGGTGTGAATGCCTCTGCCCACCCACCACTTCATTGAGGCGGCGAGTCAACGGTCATCAACCATCAACGGACAAATCACAGCGTGTGTGATTATATATATATATGTGTGTGTGTAATATGAGTGTCTGTTTTGCTCAGCATTCAGTGGAAGGCCAAGCAACATGTAGCAAAAAGTCTACATCCGCCCATCGGGCGGGCAATACCACTTCTGGGGGCAGGGCAACCCCTTGAGGAAAAAGAAGTTCTTGCTGCAGAATTGGGTGTGTTCCACTATCTGGAGACTTTGGCAAGCCACTTTGGTATGTTCTAAGCGCAGGTTCCCCTCATATGGATTTTAAAGTCATTGAGGCAACTCTAAACATCTTTTAACCAGCTCTTTGTTTGCTCCAAGTGATGGGTGCACATGTTCTTACCAGTCCTTCCTGTGTTTGGAAGATTGTTCTTCTTGGCGTGCATGTGTTTGTCCCCCTGCCCCTTCCTTTTCTAAGTCATGAGTTTCGCCATGTTAACACCTATGTTCTAAGAGTTTGTCCGTCACACTGTTTATATATATATATATATGTGTGTATATATATATACATATAATATTTGACTACACCACATACATATATACAGATTTAGGTATACGCGCCTTCAACTCAAAATGAGTCTGACAATGTCTGACGAGGCGTGTTTCTCCTTTCTGCCTTGAAACATTCTTGCCATTCTCGTAGGTGTCTTGCACCGTGCCATAGAAGCGCACCGGGTACGTCACATCTGGCCGGGGGATCTCAAAAGGGCAGCCATCACCTCACAGGTGTAAGGTCTCTTGCTGCACTGAGTTAGAGTAGACGGATGGGCTCACACAGGCTCACGCCTACATAAACATACATATACAAGAATTCAAGAATTGCAAGAATACATCGGGGACCGCTGAACTTACAAGTTGCCACAAGAATCACAAGAAGAAGTCTGAGCACCTCTGAAAGTGTTCTGGGACCCCTGCCAATCCAAAAATCCGGTTCTTCAATTTGCCGCCCATCCCTCAGTGGCGAACTACACAAAAGCCTTTTTGTGCTTTGCTGAGAATAAAGCCGGCTGTCAGGACAGAAATTTGAAATACATAAAAACATAAACACAACATATTGGCTGTTGGTGGCCAGGTGCTTGATGCCTTGCTTGAACATGCCATAGCTGTAGCGGATGCCATACCCCCAACATGGCAATGACCTTTGGCCAGGGAGCGCTGCTGCAGCTGCCAAAGACTGGACAATCACTGGGGCTACAAAAAAGCTGTGCATCACACTCCAATGATCTGACCAAATGAATGTTGTGTTTTCCAGCACTCGAACCCATTATTCCACGCTCGGCCAAGCTGCAGGGTGGCCATGGAATCCAGGAAGCAGGCAGCCAAGCGGCCAAGCCCTCCATTGCCCAAGGCGGGATCTGCTTCCTCACTGAACAGCTCCTGGAAGGGGTTGCCCAAGTTCTAGAATGCTGCGAGCCAAAATTATCTGTGAATGTTCTGGAATTATCTGACCGTCGAGCCTCAAGCTTCATCCCCAAGTCCTCAAAGGCTTCCTGCACGTCGCAACATGCAAGTAGAAAGCCCAGCACCAAATGCATGTCATGGCATACTGCCCATTCTATCACAACAGCATAAAATTGCACGCCGCTGCTTGTCCATCCTTAAACTGCTGTTCCAAGTCCAGGTTGGCGATAGCATTCTGCATGTGGCGGCCAATCAAATACTCTGCTGACAGGTAGTACCCCCTGCAAACAACAATTGACTACATTCATTACCCACAAGCCGTTCCTTCTCAGTCTATGACATGGAGACAATCAGTGTGCCTTTTTACGTCCTGTTCCCGGTAGTAGGTGTTGGTGTCATTCAGGGACTCCAACAAGCGATCACGGAGAACAAGGCCAGCGGCACGGTAAGCATCCTCTCGGAAACAGTGCTGAAGCAACAGTGAGGCTTCCGCAGGTTTGCAGCGGTCTAATCTTCAACAAACTTGTTGGACTTTAGTGAATAAAAATTGCATGAATTGCAATGTCAGAAGCCTTTCCTTCATGGGCCAGTGGAAGCTTACCCCCCCTACAGTGTGCAAAGCAGTACTGGCCGTCGCCTGCATGGTGAACTTGAATCTTGTACACGCCAGGGAGTACTCCAGGTGCCGAGCAAAAGATTTCTGGATGGATTCAGGGTCATTCGGTTCCTCCGCCACGCATCGGGCAAATGAACGCTTGCCTGCTCTACAATCACACCTGCTGCAGCCTGCGGCCTTTGCCATCAACCAGCAAATGCTTTCCATGGAGTGGTGACTGTTGATGGTAGCAGTGTAGTTGTATATAGTATAGCCCATCTCTAAACACTAAACTTGAATAAACCTGAAATAAACCTGAATATGGCCCGGTTAAAGAGAGTGCCGCTTTGGCCAACAGTGGGTCACGATGTCACTATGGCAAACGCGGCATTGCACAGGCCCAACATGTCCACCAAGGGTCGTAAGTTGCCATGAGTTGTTGAAGCCTCTCCATGCGGTTGCCATCCTTGGAACACGATGGCTTTATGTGTTAGGCATCTGAAAGCATCGGAGGTCAGGGCGAAGATTCAGACTCGCCGCTCGCATGTCAGGGCGGCATGTGGCATTTCAGCTTAGCGTCTTGCCCCTCGACATTTGGTGCTGGACGCACTGCTGTAGCATCAAGCAGTGAGAAGGAGGACTTGCGTTTCATCTCGAAGCCTGGCCAACAGGTTGGAGACGGGAGATTGAAACAAGGATGGCTACACACTCAGCCAGCAGAGAAGAGTTTGCCGGTCGTGACTCCATCTCACTTTCAGCTCCATTCTAGGTTCAGTATGTCCCATACGGTATGTGCACACTGTACACAATTTGAGGCCGCTTTTGTTCAAGTGAGCAAGGTTTTGGCTGCATCCCAATCCAAAGCCCGCCTGCTTTGTCAGCCGACCATACGCCAGTGGTCGTCATGCTGGGAACTCGCTAGGGCAAGGCGCAAAATGGCACGAATAACTACGAATCGAGCTGGAAAATAGGCTGCGAAGTCGGACATGCTGAAGCTTGACCGGGTGTTTGAACTTGGACAGGTCATGGTTATTGGGTCGTCTGAACATCTGACAGGTTTTACAGAAAGCTCCAGTCCTCCGCCAGAAGGATAAATCTCTCTGGTAGGCAACTCACCGTCATAAATTCCTGGGCCGTTGTCGGATGATCCAAATATACAGATATAATATAGAGAGAGAGATTGCAAGCACCATACGGCCAGCATGCATGCCGAACATGTTTAAACACTTTAATGTGCTGCATTGCGACAAGGTGCTGGACGGTGGGCTCAACCCAAAATGGAAAGAAAGCTTGGAGCCAAAAGAGCCAAAACAAGTGCAGTGTAGAAGCAATCCTTCGCGCTTTGCTTGGTTTCGACTCTTCAACATGAACTTGCTACTCTCTGGCAGCCCCCTCACAGTAGATGGGCCGCAGCATCTTGGCTGCTAAACTAACTACTTGATGCTAGTTGACGTCACCCCTTCCTGGAGGGTAGTGTTTCCCAGCCATTGTCTGAAGCCATCTGAATCACCCCTTCCAATGTCTTGCGCTCCGCACGCTCTCGCATCCGCAGCAGGGCGGAATGGCGTTCTGAGCAGCCAGAGCGGCGTTGACTTGGCCTGAAGGCAACGAACCAGCTGCAGTAAGTATCACACGGGCTCTCAACACAGAGTACACAATACACAGAGTACCCAGACTGTGTAGAAAGAATAGCATGCTGCCCTCCACTCGGTGAGACTTTGCTAGCAATGGCCTCCGCATCTACTCGGACCTTCCAGACTCCTGTATCAAAGAACGCAACAAAAGGACCTAGGAAGCAAGGAGAAAGTGCAAGGAAGCAGTGGGAGGTTTGGAACAGGGGCAACAGCCAAGTGGTGGAAAGCCAGGGAGCAAAAATGGTCCTGTGTATATGTAGCATACCGTATACCAGTATAATTGCCAATGATGCTGAAAGCATACTTAAACACAAACGCAGCACCATTGCGAAAGAGAAAGCAGGCAAACGAGGAGAAATACAAGAATGCAAATGTGAGGATGGATTGACAATTCTCATGGAGGGGTCCTTGTGGAGTGCTTCTAGGGTCTCACAACGAGGGGCGTGGCAGTCAAGGGGTCTTCAACCCACAGAATGCCCGTGAAAAAAAAGCTGCGAGGAGGCAGACTAGCTGACTAGCAGGCTAGCCACCAGCATCTTGACAAACAAAGTCAAGGAAGCCGCGGATGAGGGAGCAAATGAGTCTCTTTCCATGAATGTCACCAACCGTAGAGTGATTGAGCAAGTTGCACAAAAGTCTACTGAGAAGTAAACAAATCGTAAAAGGCAGAATGGCCTGACAGAGTCAGGTCTGAGAAAAACAACAAAGCATGTTGAAAGTCGTTGGGAGGAAAAAAAGAAACTTTTGGAGGGATGACGCCTTGTGCGTCTAATCAATCAGTTTTCGTGTCTCGACTGGCACTATAGAAATAGGATGAAATGAGGCTGTTGCCATGGAGGTGCCATGCACGTTGCCATGACCTGCCCGGGGCACACACATACACATTAAAGTTCAGCAGGCAAGACACATGTTTACGCCTTTGGTGGCCCGTGCTTGGCTATCCCTTGATGTGGCAATTCTTGAGCCAAAAGACATGCAGCACGTCTGTGACGCTCTCAACCACCTCCTCAAATAGGAACTTAAGCCCAGGCCCTTGCATGAAGGGATGCAGCATCAGGCAAAATCCTGATATCAGAACCTTGAAGGTTGACATCGTGGATTTCCTCCTAGATACTATATTATACTGTAGTTGGTAGAGTTGTGCAGCGTTGCGGGGCTACTTTCCACAGAAAGCCCGGAGAGGGAGAGAAGTGATGCCGACATTCTATGGAGAAGAACACGGGTATATAGTGGATGCACTCACAAAAGCCGCGGTGAGGATGAAAAGTGTGGCTTGGGATTGCTTGGAAATGTGCGAAACTAGCACCACAGCATGAACGAGCTCGTCAACTATTTGTCATCAACCGCTTTCTGCGGGCCCATCGTTTTACAAGAGTTGCCACGCGCGGTCAGTGTCTGAAACAGACTTTTCATTGCTTTTTGCAAAGTCAGCAGCGGCTGATGCCATGGCATTGTGCGCCTAGAGATATGAGAAAGAGCTGGTTGAAATTATTGGTGGTCAAGGCTCAGGCCTGGCAACAAGCGAACCTACAGTAAAGCAAAGTTTGGGGCCGATCGAGCACTCATAGACGTTACTAATAGAAACAGAATGGGATTGGTGGTTCCGAAAAGAGGCTGTCCGAGTAGCGAAGGGGAAGAAACCCAAAGTGCTAAGCCGCTGCAAATCAAACAAAGTTCACGCTTGAGGGCAACTTGAGGGAACTCCGAAACAAAGCCTCTGCGGGATCTGCAGGCCCTGCTGCAGGGATCAGCAGTAGACGCAAAAGGCGCATGATTGGCAAAGGAGCCTCAGTGTCAGTTCAGATGTGTCCTTTGGCTTCATTAAGGCCGTCATTCAGGTTGTGCTTTTCCCATTATATGATTATGCAACATTTTCACTGCGCAATCACAGCATCATCACAGCATCTATGACCAAGCCAGTTGTTGGCTAGGGCTGCAAATGCAGGTGTTCAAAGACTGGTCTGACAAACTGCAAAGGGTCTCCGTCTGGATTCAGCCTGTGCAGTTCAATCGGGGCCTCCCCCTCAATTGTCACGAGGACAGTGTTGTAGCTGGCATCCAACTTTGCAAACACCGGCTTCTTCAAATGCTCCACCCGCATAGCATCCAAATACATCGTTGTAGTAACGGTTCCCTGCAGCTCAATATGGCCATCCGCGGTGCTGGATGGCCTGAAACTCAGCTTTCCTTGATGCAAAATTCTCTTTCCCTCCTCTGACAATCTGAATTCTTCATACTCTGCATTAGGAATCGTGAACTTCCATCCTTCTCTTTCAAAGGTCCCAGGGATCCGGCAGCTGGCGTCAAACAGGTCTAAAGACTCACCTGACATAGTATCCTCTGCCGCAAGGCGCCCGTTTGAAATGGTAATGTCCTTCTCACGATCCTCAAAGACCCAGTGAGGCTGCACCTCTTCCTCCTCATCTTCAATGATGTCTCCTTGCATGCCGGCTTCATTCTTGTCGCGGAAGACATGGGACTGCTGTAGAATAAAGCTCCCGGCAACAGGAGCACCAGAAGCAGCGTTGCTTACAGACTTGTCTTTACACACAATATCACCTCCCAGAAGGCCAATGCTGTACACCTCGTCAAACATTTCACACTCTTGCAGCGACTGGCTCATGATAAATATCCGACTTTCTTGGTTTAGAACGATGTAGACGGTATTGTGACCCGCACTTCTTCCCATCTCCCGAGAGCCTGAAATCACTTGCGCGTTGCGCCATCCACCAATGCTCTTTTCAAGGAGTGCCGCCACTTGAGGCTGCACTGTCTCCATGGTGATGCTCAGGGAGAGATTGTCATTGTCACTTTAGCTCCGCACAAATGCTGGCAATTTTGAGCAAAGGGCAGCGACAACACGCAATCGGGGCCTTCTGATTTTTTAAGCTTGTTGCAGCCCATACATCACACCGATCTTCCATCACAAGCTGACTTAGCTGTCTTTGTGACCAAGGGCCCAGCCCACAGCGGGGCATCCACAAAATTCCCATGGCTGATGCCATTGAAGTGCCAAAGGCCAGACCATGGGCGAGCCTCACAACTGAGCAGATCCGCTTCCTCCAAAGGCTTTAAGACAGCTTCAATGCAAATACCATGCAAAGCACTAGAAGAGAAGAGACTTGGTAAAACTGACTCTTGCAATTCCACCTTGCCGCTCGAAGACACCTTGCGCACCATATTCCTGAGATCTGTGGTCCCTGCAATAGTTTGCACAACTTACTTCGTAGCACACATCATCACACATGAAGAGTTCACTTGCAAAGGCAACTCAGAATTGAGTGGGTTTGCATCTGGGAGTCACCAAATTCAAAATGCCGGCATACTCATCTCCCACAATGGAAAAGACCTTCAACAGCAACACTGTACAAGCTGCTGTCGTTCCAGTCAGCACTTGTGCAAAACAACACAATGCGACACAACGAAAAGGAGCGCAAATCAGCGCAAACTTCTCAATGTTGCCAAGGCGGCTGGTTGGGTCAATTGCGGCATCTCAGCGCTCACTGCTGGGTCATGCAGCACCTGGGGACAAAGACGGATGGTCCTGCATCTAAACACACTACAGCGCCTATCTGGGTCCACTCAGCTTTCCACCAAACAAAACTGTCCTGTTGCGGCTCAGGCCAGGGCCAATCCACTGAAAAGCTCCGGGGCTGCGTTGGCGGCAAGAATGGCCGTGGGACCGCCATAACCTCAAAGCACTACCAGTAGTTACAGTGTGCTAGTTATATAATGAGGAATGGTTCAGTTCATGAACTGCAATCCATAGTAGAGAAGTCGAAAGTCTGGATCGAATTGCTTATGCAATGTACATGTGTATGTGTATATATATATATATATGTGTGTGTGTGTGTGCGTTCTGTATAGTATAGTTTGATGACTCTGAGAACAAGAGATCTCTTGATGGCTCAACAAAGGCACTGTGTCCACCCACTAAAATATTTTGCCCATCTCCACCAAGCTCATCAAGCAGTCCATTAGCGAGCAAAGCTTTCGTCACCTAGGCGCTGCCAACCCAACAGTGGTGCCGCACCGCCCCGATCAAAACTCTTCCAACGTGGAAGGCCAAAGGGCACGTGGTAGGATTCATCATATTTGTTAAGTTTCCCTAAGAATCTAGGAACCAAATTCAAAGAAGCTTCCCCCGCCGCCCTAAAGGGAGCTTCCTTGAAGAAGCATGAGCTATCCTGCGTCCAGTTACTAGTAGCGTCTTGTACCTACTAGCTACCGACTCCCTGGCAAACCTACCTCTACTAGCGGCCAAGACCCCCCAAAAAGATCAGCCTCTTGGACTTGCCAAGCCGCTTCTATCAGCTCTTGCGCACGATAGCTCACTCCCAGCTGCGCACGAGTGAAACTGAATGGTCTGGGATTGGACTCATCGCCAGTGGATGCAGAGCCATCTTGGTGCTCCACACTGAGGACAATCCTTCAGATCGCAAGTGCCGCTTGTAACAACCTGTTTCGCTACTGCTAGTGACTAAGTGTCTTTCAAGGGGGGTGCTGGCAGTAAAGCTGGTCCATGACATTGACCTCCACCGCACCAGTCTTGGCAAGCGGCAGCCCATAGCTGGCAATCTGCCTTGCATACAACTGGCAGCTTTAGGCCTGTTCACCACATCTATATAGTACAATGGTTCATTGCACAGCCAGTGTGTACATGTACGCGCTTAATGGGTACAACGTTCATCCCTTCTCTTGGTGCCGTCCGAATCCTACTCGCAACCCACGGGTCCAGCCTCAAAAAAAATGTGCCCATGTCCATGTTTCCTGTCACACATAGCCAAGCAAGCACACCAGTTACAAAGCAGTGCTTCTCTGAGCACTCTCCTGCCTCCCTGACCGTGGGAGTACACGAAAACTGGATAAAGGCCCTGCGGAGAAGCAGAAGGTGGCGCATCCTCAACTGGAGGCACAGGCGCTTTTTAACATCCACATCAATTCCATCATGCATCATGGTTTTACATTTATCACCACGTGTCCTCCCAGCACCCAGAACTTGCAGTACCCAGGTGCTCCAGCAAGAAGCCAGGAAAGAAAACAAGCCGTGCCATGGCATCCTTACAGCGCATGCTGTGCTTTGAATCTCCCTCTCTGAACCGTTGCCTGGTCTGGCTATGACGGCTCACAAAAGAATTCGGCGTTTCCGCCCAAACGAGAAAACATTGCAAGTTGCAACGACAGTTTCTGAGGTTCTTCGCCCCTCTGAAAGATAGGGGGCTTCCTTGCCATTGCTTTGTGCAGGATACAGCACCCGGCACCGCAGCCCTGCTAGACGCAGCACACGAGAGCCCACTGCACGGAACGGGCCTGGTACAAAAGAGCTGGGATGTTGCTCCGCCGTTTTGACGTTTGAACTGCTCTCAAACTCAATAACTATGTGTGCAAATACAATGCAACCATTTGAGTTAGACTCGACTCCATGCATGCGAAAGAAAGACGGATTGTAGATGGTTGATGGTCTTTGATGTGTGCAGGTCTGAGAGGGAACTTTCCCAAACTTGGCACCAAGCCCCGCAGCTCTGGCTGTTGAGGCTGGTTGATGACGGCAAGCTTTGCACCGCTGCAAAAGGCACCAGTAGCCACCAAAGCTGTTCCTAGAACAACGCACAGGATATCCGGAGCCTATCTTCCTTCCGGCCTCAATGCACTCCAATAGCGGGTTATATCATAAGTGTTATATGATTGCAATTACTGTAAGAGCTGTCAGCTATCAGCTAAGCTGCTCGATCCCTGTGTTCATGTAGCTTACTGAAGCGCCTACCGCATGCTTGTCATTGTGATACCGAAAGCCCAATAAGGTGGCATAGGACAGAGAGTGGAGTATGTGACAAACAAGTACCAGCAAAACAAATTTATGTATATCACAAAGGCGTGGCGCTAGACGCACAGCGGCAATTTAGATGGTTTAGCGCCTGCAGCCTGCAAGGCACTCTGCAACCACTCTGCGACAACATCTCGTCTGCCAGCGTCGTCAGGCAGTCCGTCACCTTAAATCAAACAAGGTTTGGGGGGCGTTTGCTTGTGGATCGCCTCGGCATCACTACTACAGTAACCCAAAAAGCACTTAGCAAGGCAAGGACCCCAGAGAATAGACAACTCGTCCAAACAAGTGACCCAAACATTCAATAGTACATACAGAGCATATGCATAGCCTTTAAACTTTATATAAACGGGAAACGCCCTCCGCCGCCTCGCTGAATGTGCGATATCCGATTTGCGCTGAAGTGGAGGCCACGATCGCCCTGCTGACCTGAGCAGGTGCGAAAGGCTGCGAGAACCCGAGTGAAACTGCCCTACTGCAAGAAGCTACTAAGGGCTCCTGGCATCGCTACTAGGAGCAAAGACGCTATTAGGGGCTCCTGGCCTTACTTCTAGGAGCAATGTTCACTACTAGGAGCACGAATGAATTATCTTTGATTTATGTGTTTGATTTATGTTTGAATCACTGCCCTGGGAGACTGCGACTCTAATCCCTTATGGTGCGAGCGCTTCTCCAAGGAAGCTCCCTCCCCCCCGCCGCCTTTAGTCCAGTAGGTAGTAGCTACAGGTGACTTAGTAAGCTAATGCTACGTGCTAGTAGGCGCCTACTACTGACAGTAATTACGAGGTCGGCAAAAAAATCTATGTCGACTCAACACGACTGGATCGCCACGCTCGACTCAACACAACAATCCTAATACAGTAATCGAATTCTCGTGCCGCTGCTGACACCAAGGCCTGGCACCCAGCATGGCGCTTCACAACACCTCAGGTATCTTCCGAACCAAATTAACGTTTCGAATCGTTCGACATGTCCAAATTGAGTTGATTTGAAAATCAATGTGCTGGGCACTAACTTCAGTTAGGACACGCCAAAATGAGGACCAAACCCCATCGCAGGAATCGTTGGGAACTAGATCCACCCATGTGGAATGCCTCTCAGGCTTGCTTGGTGTCTCTAGTCGTGTTTTTGGCTCATGTGAGCTCCACTTTCTGGCACATCTCATTTTGCATGACCGCCTCCCCTGGACAAGAAGCAACTACCTTTGAGCCACACCGAGGTGGAGAGAAAACATGTCCGAGCTCACATCAGGGCGATCAAAGCCCCTGAATTCGATGGCAGGGAGCAGAAGCAGCAAAAGCATGCCGACGCGAATGCTGTGCAGCAGCAACTGGTCATCCTTGTTGTTCCCAGGCCACTTAAACAATCCAAGACTGAAGGTTTCTATCTAGCAGCTAGCAATCTTTGGCAAGCTGAAGGAAAGCTATAGGCTGCGCTCCCTGATTGCAAAGACATCCACCGCGCCAAGCTTGGAATTATCACCCCCCTGATCGGCTCGCCCCCAAGATATGACTCGGCCATCAGCTCTGATAGCAGAAAAAGCATGTCTTGAGCTGCAAATTGTGACCACATCTCCTGTAGCTACGCATCAGCTGAGTTCACCGACCACTGAGTTGGGCCGCCGAACTCCGAACCCAGACTACAAAGATCTACGAAGGCAAAAGAGAGCAGTTTGAGACTACAAATGCAATCCAAGCATCTGAGTTCAGGTTGAACCGTGCTACTGTCACCGCCAATGTCCATCCTTCCCCATGTGATGACCTTCCCGTCAGACCGGAGAGCTGCAAATGCGCTTTCTGCCGCAACGACTTGACAAATCTCATGAAGCTGGTCCTTCAGTTGGGAAGCGGCAAGGTTCAAGTTAGACAGCCCACTCCAATGGACACCTCTGGCAAACTCACATTGGCAGTTCTTGCCACACAGAGCCGTTCACTATTGAAAACCCTGCGCAAGAATGTTTACAGAAGGAGTTGAGTAGCGTTCAGAGATTCAGTGTCCTGGACACAACTGCTATCACCACCAGCTCCAGGCTGACCCCAAGTCACAACCCTGCCATCAGCCCGCAAAGCTGCGAAAGAGCTAGCAGTGCCACATACCTGCTGAACGTCGTAGAGTTCCGACCTTACTGCTGCATTGTTGCTGCCAAGCTTGCGATTCCCCCAAGTGACCACCGAACCATCTGTCTTGATGGCTGCGAATGCCAGATCCACCGCTGCAATGTCATAGACATCATGCAACTCCTCTTGCACTTCACTGCTGTTGCCCCCTGCAATGTCGCAGCCCCAGGTCACCACACGTCTGTCAGTTCGAATGGCAGCGAAGGAGCGCAAGTTGGAAAAGAGCCGTTCCACTGAACATAATTCACCTTCTACAGCTTTGAGATCTGTAGCTTCTGAGTCCTCTCCCCAGGCGATGACCTTCCCATCAGCCCTCAGAGCTGCAAATGCACCACAGGTTGCACGGACCTCAATGATGCTGTGCAACTCCTCCTGTACCATGCTGCTGTCGCCGCCACAACCAGGACTCCCCCAAGTTACCACATGACCATCCTAAGCTCAACATGTTCAGCCTAGCTCTGTAGAGATGCAAAAGGGAAGCCTAGCCGTTCGATGTTGAAAGACATGTGGAAGAACATCATGCAGAAAGAATCCTGTTTTGCCCGATAGCTGTAGCAAAACTGAACGAGCTACTTGAGCTACTTTCGGCTCTCACTTCAAACGGTTTTGTCTTTGTCTTTGTTTCGTCACTCCATGATCCGCACGCCGTATGAACGATTCGAGAATAAATATATATATATATATCCTAAGTAATCCTAAGTACACCCTCCACTTCCATGTCTACATGTCATGTCTCTAGAAAGAACGGCTTCTTGACACAACCTGCTTTGAGTGATAGACCAGGATCATTGCGGATGGCTGCGAAGGCCCCCTCGATGATGGCCCGATACCTTGGGTCCACGTCCAACAAACAACCAGTTCAGTTCGTCTATCAGCCTAACATAGAAGTCTATGATATCTATCTTTCATTCTCCCCTATCTCAATCAGTCTCAGTCTCCCTCACATACCTCGGTTGCCATGGTGCGGTGGCACATTTCCAGGACAAATGTCCTTCACATCTTGGAGTTGCGCTTGGACTTTTCGACAATTTCCTCTGGAGAGGACAAAGGGAGACAAGAAAAAAGGCTAGAAGGACTATGAGTGCAAGAGTGGAAAAAGAAGGTAAAGGCTCCCTGTATATGAATATATATATATATATATTCAGGGGCCTTACTAGGGCCTTACTAAAGGGTACCTGACCTTTTTTCATCTCGTCAAAGAGCGTTGTGTTGTTATTGCTCCCTTCGCTGTTCTTTTTCTAGCGTTTCCCATACTATCCTTTATTCCGGTTTCGTTCTTCCTTGACATCTCCTCCACAATTGGGGTTCCCCCATGTCACCACTGTGCCGTCGCACCGAATGGCCTCAGAACCAATTCCACGCAACAAGGAGAATACCAGACTTGAGCAAACTCAATGTCCAAGAAGCAAAACAAGAGAAAGCCAAAAAACAACAACACCAAAGAAAAGTGTTACTCAAATAAACAAAATCAAAGAAAAATATATACAGTAAGGAAAACATATGAAAGGATCGTGTTTCTCAGTTTCGCTGATCGGCTGCGAAAGCACCGCAGTTGGCAAAAACCTTTGCCACGTCTTTCAATTGAGGCTGAGCGCGTAGGCCTGAGTGAACTCCGAAGAAGTCCTACCACCCAAGTGGCTTGTGTGAGACTTGAGGTTAGACTCTGAGTTTCTGGGTGGTCCCTTTTGATTTCTGCACACTGGGTTCTGAGAATTAAGCGGCTACACTACCAGAATTTCCAGATTTGCACCAAGTGGCAGTCTCCACCGAAGCTCGGGTGGCCCCAGCTGACCACACCACCGTCTGCACGTAGCACCGCAAAGCCTCGTGCTCCGCGGTCTCCAATGAGCTGCGCGGTGCGCACTACGGCGGTCACCTTGGTCCGCTTGCAATGCTTGAAACTTAGGACACGCGCTTCTTTTCACAATCACCCCATGTCCCCACTGCTGGAGTCAAGGTCCAAAGCGATGAATCTTGAGGGTCTTTATATAAATTCTGCTGACTTTCGCACAAAGTCGCCGATGAGCCCTCTTGTAGACCTACCTGACAACAGGTCGGGACAGCTGCGTGATTAAGAACAAAAACACCAATACCAAGGTTACCAAATGCATCTTAACTTGGGTGTCAACCCACAACACCCACACTGGATTCATTCAATGCATCCCAAAGCCTCCTTGACTCGATTCCAAGGTTTCAGAAGCGTGCCAGAAGAGTCTACCAACCTCAAGACGCACAATCAAACATGAAAGTTGAGGCATGTTGCAAATATTCATCACTTGTCTAAATCCTAAATCAATGGCAACCAGATGCTGATACACAGAAGTCAGCGCATCTCACAAAGAACAGGCAAAATAGTTGTTTTTTTTCCGCTGCGTCGCGCATATAGTCCAATCTTCAAGTTCCTCTGCGCCTCGCGCTTGATATAGTCCATTCGTGTCTCCCCTTGCACGCCGACACTTGTTGTCTGCCCACTGAGCAGCGTCACAGCAATTTGGAACATGGAGGAGGGACATGTGCAAGGCTCGCTATGTCCTTTGCGCTAATGCCCCAGATCCAAGATAGGCCAGAATTCCAGCTATTTGTCTGAAAGGTGCGACAGTTGCTTTCTAGGTATCATATGGCATCAGCTTCAACAAAGTTTCATCCATTCCTGCATTCCCGAAACTGAGACGCAAAGGAAGTCAGGTCTCGGTCGGCTAAGCTTTGAGCCTCCAAGCCATGGCGTCTCAACTGGCAATGACTTTGCTCCACCAACTATCCTCAACTGGCCTAGCTTTCACCTGTTTAACTCAACATCAACTGTCTGCACTCTGCACAAACTGCTTTTTTGACCCTCAGACTGCGCTGATCTGGGGTTCACTTTGCTCAGGTTACTGGCCAGTCCGGCTACAAGGGATCTTCTTTCTTGGTTTGCCACCAGCCTGTCATCAGGTGCAATAAAACAGCGAAGCCTCCTCGCCAATGTAATCTGCTGTGAGAACGTCAAGCACAACCCAAAGACTCAATCAACATGTTTTACGTCAGAACCATTTCTTTCCTCCAGCACTGTTCTCTTCCGCTCGTTTCGACCACAGCATTCCAGGAAACACTGCTGCAGCACCAGTGGGTGGTCGCTCACACAACAGACTTCAGTGATGCAACTCGGTGGAGAGGAGTTGAGGGAAAATTTGCCGAACCTCAGACAGCTTGAAGGCTTGATGCTCCACCAAGTGTTCAGCAGAATCATCCACATTGCAGTTGAGACAAATCTTTGTGACTCTAACTTGGCGAAGGGGGTTTGCTGCAGAAAGACTGGCAGTTAGTCTCTGTACAACCAAAGGCTCCGCGATCTATTTGACATATATTATATTATATTATATAGTCCAACGTGCCAATGTGACTTGCTAAGAATACTACCGTGCTTGCCTTAGGTCTTGCGATGTCTTGCCTTGCAACCAACAAAGAGATGCTATGGATCACCTTTAATCAAAAGCCGGCAAGTTCCCTGTTATATACTGCATACATACTTAGTATGACATACTTGCAAGATCTTGCAAGACTCAAATCCGACCTGACACTCCAAGTTGCGCTTTTCCCATCGCTGTAGGGCGGGGCAGCTGCGAGGCCTCGCAGGTCCAGGTAGCGCAGTGAAGCGCCCGGGGCGGCCGCGGCCAAGGCCTCGAAGCAGCGACCGAGCGAATTGCCAGCGACCAAGGATTCCCCCGAGCGAATTGCCTCCACCGCTGCTGTTGTGATGTTGAGGTTGCCAAAAAAGCTCAGCCAGTTTAAACCTGAATTCGCAGGACTGAATTCGCGGGAGAAATGCGACAAACGGTGTGCAAAAATGAATGGAGCCAAGCCTTAATCAAACAAGAAAGCAATGGCAGCAAGACAGGCTTGAAACTGAGGTAGAGGCGGGTGCAATGCTTTGCTATGGCAAGCATGGTTGCATCAGTGAGAGCACAGCACCATGTCAAATTTAGTGTCTCCAAGACTCCTGGACAAAGGCACATCAATCGGACTGCACCTCGTGTTCAGTGTGATAGGAATCCATGTAGGTGCAATACATCCAATGAGTATCTCTTGTTCTTCCTGTCTCTCCCACTGTTTCTTTTCTGACCGCTCTCCTGGCTTTGCATGCGTTACAAAAGCAACAACACTCTCGTCTTCGCAGCGGCAGCCACAAAGATCCAACTCTTTGAGCAAGGGCAGCCTGACGAACTTTGAGCAATGCGCTGCAACAAAACTTCCAAGCCAATTCCAAGTCAAGGAAAAGGAGAGAATTGGCTAGATCGTCCACCATTGTAACCAAGATACAGCAGGTCTAGATTGATCAAGAATCAGGCAATCTCTGATTGTCTTGGAAGCACCCTCGTCAAACATTTGCACATTGATCTGTTTATGGTTTCATTATGTCTACGAGTGTAGTTTAATTGCATTATGGATGGTATAGTCTTGTCTTGTGGAATACGCACTATTATTTACATCGAATTTATGGCGGTTTTCGTTATCTCACCACGAATTGCACTATTTTGGTGTGTGCACCATCACCTCTGGAGACCATTGAAGGCGGCTGGAGTAAGCTGAGCCATGGCATAGAGCCGAAGCACTTGCAATTCGCAAAGGTTTTCGCAAACCAAGGTCGCCCCCATATCGGTGACCTGGCAACTCCGTGCTCTTTGTGCTCAAAAGCAAAAATGTGCCCGCTGTTCGTCGTGATAGTGACAGAAAGGATTGTTTAAGATGCGACATGCCAAAATGCTGCAAGCTGGAGTGCAACGGAACCAGCAGAACCCAGTTGGACAAAAATTGAATGTTACAATATATTTCACCCTTTTGCTTATAGTTATTTCATATGGTAAGGCCAGAATCCTTGATTTAAAAAAGCCAAAACAATAAAAAGTCAAATGGAAAAGTCAAAGTGAAAAAATAAGTCAAGTCCAAGAAAAGTCAACCATGGACCACAGCTCGAACAAGTCAAAAAACAAATCCCAAAAAAGAATGTCAAAAAAAAGTCGAAAACATGTGTGTTTTAATGTCAAGTTCCAAAAAAAAAACTCGGAAAAAAAGTCAACCACTCGAAAAATATATTTTAAAAAAAATGAAAAAAAAAAGTCAAAAAAGTCGGAACAAAAAATAAAATAAAAAAACAAAAAAAAATCACCCCCCCAAAAAAAAAATGACATTTCAAAAAAAAGTCGGATCTGGGCAAATTGACTTTTTTTTGACTTTCTGAAACTTTCTGATTTGACTTGCTTTTGACTTTGACTTTTGGGATTGACTTTTTTTGATGTGTTTTTTTTGACTTTTTTAAATGTTGCAAACAGGCTCTCTCATGCTCTCTCCAATGATAAATTTTTATACAGTCATACAGTAACATTTTGCCAGTTCGAAGTGCATTGAAGCCAGCGGCCATTGGGCCTTAGGGCACCTGGTCAAGTCCAGCAGCCGTAGCTGTGGAGCACGTCCCACGATGCGCTGCACAGTCTCGTCACCCAAGAATTTGCAACCACTGAAGCACAGCTCCTCTCAGACTTGCTCAGATTTGTGGCTTGTGTGCGGACGCTCTCAATAACAGCAGCATGACTTGAATCTGTACAACCTTTGTTTTCTCACCAGCTTGTTACTGTAGTCTTATTTAAGTTGAAACCCTGCTTCTACAAAGCCGGAATGGCGAAGCGGTTCACGTCAAATCCTACTACAGTATCCGCTCTGCACAAATTTGCCCCTGGGTGGAGAAAACACAGGCAAACCGCACGTCTTCCCAATGTTGCCTGCAGCTTTCCGCATGGCTGCGCCCTCAAGACTCTCCCAAGACCTTGATCGGTGACCTCAGAAAACGGACATGACTGAAGCGTTGACAAGAGTAGAGCTGCAGCAGGTGAACATTAAGTTTCTGGGTTGGGACTATGATTGGCTGGTTCAGACTTATCAATGATTCAATGGTACACGTCCAGCCTTCACGTTCCAGTAGATACTGAAACACCGCAATCCCCGGCAACGCTGCGCCACTGCAGCAAGGCCCTGGAGTGTGTGACTCCAAAGGAGAATGTGAAGGCACAATCACAAGCATATATTGAAACTGTGTAGATTGCTTGACTGATTGACTCACATGAAAGAATGAGATGAAGCAAAGATCAAAGCACCCACTGGTGAGATGCACTGCCTCATCATCCACATCTTGACAGCCATCCAGGTTTAGAGACTCGAGTGCCGGCAGCATTGGCAAGGCAGCAAGGGTGGCTGTGGTGACGGAGCAGAAGGATGCATCGATCTCGCGGATGCTAGCACCTCCAAGACATTGAAACAAGTGCATCAAATTGCGATCACGACGTTCCAACATCTGTTCATGGAGGCCTCTGTCAGTTAAAGGCAGCTTGACCAGCCAAAGCAATGCCTTATGGTCAGGACAGTGAGGACTCAGGAAAAAGATGTCATGTCAGACTTCGAAATTAACTCAAACTGCTAGATCCCTGCTGGGACTGATCCTCTTCCAAAGCCAGATCCTCAAGACTTGGCGGAACAGAAGCACCGGAAAAATGAGCAGTCTGCAAGGTTTTCAGCCCCAACTTTCGAAGGGGGCTGCGTCGGGTTGCTTCTGCAGCACTGGAGCCAAAAGCCTGAAGACGCAACGAGCAAAGGGACAAGCGGCAAAGGCTGCAACAGGCACCTGGTCAGGAGCAATGGGGCTTCAAGCCCAAAGCGAGGTTCAGAGAATGATACTATATATACCTGAGAAGGGACGGGTCGAAAGCCAGCCTCCGTAAGAAGACATCAATATGGTTATGGGGGGTGAATTCGGGAGCGCACTGGAACCGCCGTCAGGCATGGGGAAACAGAAAGCAGAGGTGGGAAGTCTCGGGGTGCCCCTTTTCTTTTGGCTCAAGGGGCGTTTTTAAAAACAACCCCAAGTAATTGAGGGATATTGAGGGTGTTGCCTGCTGCTTGTTTCGCTTGTACGTGGACTCATAAACTCGGCGAGCTGCTAAGAGTGGACCGATGAAAATTTGCAAAGATTACCGTTTGTATGGGGGGAGGTCGCCATTGCAGTGACGTCTAGTGCTACAATGGCTTTAAAAGGAGGATGATGTATAGGTTGGGGGGGTGCCCCTTTTCCAGTGCGTTTTCAAGTTGGAAAAGGGCACCCCTAAGGAACTGAGGAGCGCTTGCCTGCTATTTGTTGTTCTTGTCCCTTGTCCTGTAGAGCTCCCGACCTCTTCCGCCTAACTCCCTGGGCTGGCTCTGATGGGTGCCCTGTTATATAACAGCCCTCTTCACCACAACAAAGGGCACCCCCAAGCAACACCAAGCTTGCTCAACGGACCATCGCCTTGCTTGCTTGTCACGGACAGCAGGAAGGATGTTCCCTTCCGCTCTTATTAGCCGCAAGTAAGTGATGGTTGAAAGTCACTTTCCTGCTGTATTTCCGGCCTCTTTTCTTGTCACGTTGACCCCTTCCCACTCCTATCCTCTAGAGGTCACATTCTCTTTACTCCCATTCTCTCTACTCCTATTGCTCACGAGAAACAGAGCGCTGAGCGACCCACTTCGCGTTTCCCTGGTGAGCTCCCCGCCTCCTCCCCCTATG